ATCAATTAGTGTTAAAGGAGGGCTGAAATCTTCAACTATAATTGTAGATTTCTCTATTTTATATTCAGTGATATTAGTGATTAGTTCACCAAGTATTTTGATACTCTAAGTCTATAAATACAATTTTAAATTGCAATTCTGTGTGTATGGACAAAAGTATGATAAAGACTTGTAAGTATAAAAGAAGACAACATTCTATTAGGAAGTAAAATACAAAGGCAAAAAATAGAATATAAAAACTGAAAATTTTCCAAATGTTACAGAGCTTGCTTGTGTACTTTTAAAACAGATGTTGGTAACTAACAAAACAGTATTGATTCTATTCCAACATTGATAAGAGGTTGATCTTAATTGCCCAATATTTACAAATTAGAAACCACACTCTGCAACTGTTTAAAATTTATGATGAGCAATTTCAAATAGCAGACTCAAAGCCCCACTGCCCACAGCAGTGTCCCCAAATGTGCTTATTTACTTGGGCTTTTTCCTCCCTCTTCCCTCCTTTTCTCTCTTCCTCACTCCAAACTTCCTCAGATGATCCAAGTACAATTCCTTAGCTGACTAAGTACACTCCAGTCTTGTCTCTGGATCTACTCTCAGGGTTACCCAAAGACAACAGGTACCAGAAACGAATGACAATTTTTCGAAATTCCTATGGAGAGGTCACAGTCAAAAAACATTCAAAAACGACTGTTTTAATTGAAGGTTTCCCAGGTGGCGTTAGTGGTAAAGAATCTGCCTGCCAATGCAGAAGCAGCAAGAGATGTGGGTTTGATCCCTAAGTTGGGAAGATTCCTTGGAGTAGAAAATGGCAAACCCCTTCAGTATTTTTGCCTGGAGAATTCCATGGACAAAGGAACCTTACAGCCCATGGGGCTACAAAGAGTCAAGACACAACTAAGTGAGCACACACACCCTGTTTTAATTAACTTATAGATTCTATTTCCCCCAAACCTCTCCACCTGCAAGTCTACTTATCTTTTCTTTTGCCTCCATGACATCACTTATCTTGTTGAAAAAATATTTTTTTAGTGTTTCCATTAGGCTATATAGACTGTGATTCTATTAACATTAATTTCATATTCAACCATATAACTTAATGGCTGGCAAACAGATGACATTCAATGTGTCTACCACATTTAACTTTCAACTTTACTATTTACTGTATTTGCTTCATTAAACCCTTAAAAACCAGGTTCTAAGCTAGGTATTATTCCTTTTAACACATAAGAAAACCAAAGCTCAGAAAGGTCATTCTGGTAAACTGCAGAGCAAAAAATCTGAGAACTACAAAGCTCCTGCCTGTTCCACCATAGGAAACTTATCCACTGACAGGGTTCCTCCACAGCTTGGTACAATGAAGGACACTATTAAGACATTCCCAGTGGTGGACTGCTTCTCTTAGGAAGAGAAACTGAAGCCTGAAGAACTATCTGCATTTGAAGAGACACAACAAATAAGGAGAATTTTCCAGAAGAGGAAAATAACATGAAGGCAAAAGATGGAAGCCATCTACAGAAATTGTGAGGCTACATACTTAAATGAATTTGAGAACTGATTAGGCAAAGTACAAAAAACCCAGATCACACAGATCGAACTTGGTCTGAAATAGGGAGCCACTAAGGATTTCAGAAAAGAAACGACAATATGTGAAACACACCTGCGAGGCGCACACAAGCTGGAACAAAACTGGGTGTGCATCTTGAACCTGACAAGTCTCTAAATGTTTCTAACCCTCAGCTTCCCGTCCTCCTCCTCAGCTTGAAAATGACCCTGTTCCACCTCGCCACAAAAGAACTAAATCAGATACTACAGCTAACACACACAATACCTGGCCCAGCGCGATTATTCAGTGTTAATCCTCTAGGCTGACAGTCATCATTCTGATCAATCAGAATGGAAATTAAAATTTCAGAAGCCCATAGTATTACCATCATGTGATTTTATAAAAAGTGGGATTCAGAAGGAAGATGACACCACACACTTTGAGGAACCAGCACAACCAGTGAAGCAAAGAGCTGGGGAGGGGTGGGGGAGGAGGCTGTGAGTTTCCACCCAGGGCTCTTAGAAGACGTGATAGCAGAGAGTGAGGCTGGCAGGAGATCCTGTTGGCTGGAGGGGAAATGGGGTCCTTCATCTTGAAAATACATAATCTGAGAGGATGTAAGCCAGTGGAAATAAGGCGAATGTGGGAAAAAGGATTTCACCTTAAATAATGAGAATAATCAATTTCCTTTAAGGAGAGTGTACACTACTCTAAGTTGAAAGTCAGCAGAACCACACAGTGAGTATGAAGAAGTACAAATTGCACTTAGCAGCAGCATACTAAGAAGGATCTCTCCCTACAATGTCTGTCTACTCTTGTCTGGGTGGCAATGAAAAGTTACCTTTTCAAGAAACACCCTCCCTAGTTTACTGCTTGTATTTAGATATATATACTCACATTTTTTTAAAGTAAGACTTGCGGAAAGAAAACCAACTCCTCCAAAACTTCTCACAATGGACTGACTTCTCAAAAACAAATTCACTCACCTAAATATGGAATGAGTCAGCAGCCTATAGTTGCTAAAAGGCTTCAACCAATTGTTGATACACTGTATTATTAATAAATGGAGATGTGCGTACAAGTAATTCAATACAGATTTACTTTAAAAACATAAATCAAAAACTTCAGACTCCCAATTCATATGCATTAAAGCAGAGCAAGAATTTAATATTCTAATTACTAATGAAACTTCTAGTCAGCTGGCTATCAAAGTGATCTAATTTTAAGATGTTGCAAGAAAAAAATGCACATTAATTTAACTGTGGTCATCAGGAGCTGAGAATATGAGTGTTATTGGGCACAAAAGGTCCCCCGAGCATATGACAAGAATCTGGGCAACACTGCTATTCACAGCCTGTTAAGAATGCTATTTGCTCCATTCTGAAAAACAGATAAATGTCTATAATTTAACCATAATAAGGAAAAGGTCAGGGTCATTATTTTAAAACACAAATGAAAAGATAAAGTATCAACCTTGAAAAAGAGACTTTAGAAAGTTTACTCCACACATGAAATACAGGCACTATCTTTCTTTACTTTTAATATTCAAATTTAATAACTACCTTGTATCTCTTCTACTAAAGCTTTTCATTTCTTAGTAAGACTTCTGACAACATTAATGCATCATAAGTAAATACATAGGGCTGTATTTTATCTCTGTCATCTTTGGCACATGTGTCAAGTTGGAGAATGACAAAAGGCAATAAAAATTTCTAATTACTGCTTTGCACATTCTTTTAATCATCTTTACATCAAAATATAAGGCCGCAAAAAGGCAAGCTGAAATTTTATGATATGTGGAATTGTTTTAATAAAGAGTTTTACATACAGTACCTTACATATAGAACAGTGTGTTTGCAGTTTTAAATAATATCTGAATGTACAGTGGCATGTATTCTTATCAAAGATAAATTCAAGTTGACTGTCTATCAGTTCTAAAATGCATTTATACAGATTGCTAGAACTGATAAACAGGATGAGGCATAAAATATTCAAGTGTTAACATGTCATCAAATAGCCTCCTCTTAACAGTCTTTTCTCCCCTTTTTAAAAAAGTTTCAAAACCTATACATAACATTTTTAATTTTTTAAAAACAGTCTGTTAAAAGGTAACATTTCATGTTAACCACCAACTCTTATAGACTATAGTAATAAAACTAGATATGTGTAGATATAAATATGTGTCGATTATGTACACATGTACGCCGAGTGTGTTTCAAACACGCATACACACGGCACACACACCTGCGCGAGCACGGGGGTGGCACACGGCTCGCAAGAGCACTGGCAGACGGAGGCCGGCCGAGATCCAGCAAGAGCGAACGCAGCAACTTAGTTGCCTTTGGTTTCAGAAATCTGTCCATTTGTGATCAAAGCTACAAGTTCTGAGTGCCTTATGTATGTTTTAAAAATAAAATTCATCTTCAGAAATGAAGCTTTTCCAGTATTCCACTACCAGCAGTTTAAACAAAAAAAAAATCCACAGCCACAAATTATTTTGTTATTTTTGTCACTCCTCATCCCAGCTGAGGTTATTTACATTTTTTTTTTCTGAAGGCAAATATCAGGCACACTCAGGGTCAAACTGCACATTGAAACCTGAATGCTGAACTCTGACTATATATCTTCTATATATAGCATAGGGGATGGACGCGTCTCTGATGGACTAATGGCATTGTGTAAGACTTGGGTGAAAGAACCCCCCACAGTATTTAAACCTCTCTTTCCAGCAGTATCGTTATTTGGCACACTTGACAATTCTGCAAGCCATTCTGTTTTTACAATGAGCTTATAACTCCAGCAAGAGATTCCAATTATTTCACTGTTTTTAACATATATTCACAATGAAGTAAGGATGCCACAACTGTTTTCCTCAGAAGCGAGACTTCTACTGTCAGTTTTCTGGTTAAGGACATTCATCACCTAAGAGACAGTTCACGATCCCATAAAAGTTTAAATACTCTGGACTTCAGTGCAGCTGGATCAACTGCAGAGAAGACAGCTCTTACAACAACCTACAGAACTCTCCACAATTTAAATCTCCTCTACAATTTTGGTTTTGGCCAAATGCTGGTTTATAAACATAGATCTCTCTACTAAGAACTATATGAATGCACCATATTTCTTCCTACAGGTATCTCGTGTTTCACATTAGCAACTACTCAAAAATCCTGCCAATCTGATTCCCTCAGCATAGATTCTAGTCTATCTCCACTGATCCTGGGCATATGGCACATTATCATTTGTATCTAGCTCATGAATGGTTTTTAATATTAGCTTCCCTGATACAGTTGTTCTTCACTTTCCTGTCCAAGGTGCCATCCTATTGATGTCACAAATCAGTAAATGACCAAACATCACTAAGCTTTTTAACCATCCACTTAGCAGCCATGTGGATAACAAAAGCAAGTCGGCTGAACGGAGCCCCATTCTTTGCATCAGGTGTTCACTGCCGTCATACAGAGCAGAGAGTGGCTATCTGCTGTGCTTTGCCCATGTCAACTAGGAGCTGTTTGATGTGGCGCTTAAGCTGGGGCAGCCTTGCGAGAGGATCGGGTGGCTCCAACTCCCCTGTGAAATCAAGCCAGCTTTCCAGAACTAAAAGAGAGAAGAGAACACACACATTTACATGGCAGCTGAAAACAGTCAGAAAATGGTGTAATGAGAAGGTTGAAAAAGTGATGCACAAAGAGTTCACTTCCCTTTCTCTAGAAAGCTGCAAGCCACCTCTAAGCCGTTAAGCATCCTCTATCCCTCAGCCCATCTTGGTAACCTTTATCTGTTGTTTTACCTGTCGTTATTTTAGGTAATTTTCCCCTTTATAAAGTAACTTCATTTTGAGTGTCTCCTTTTACTCGCTTCTATAACAGAAAACAACGTCCCCTGTTCCTGCTCAAGATTACTATTAATGGCTTAAATCATTTTCATTTTAAATGAAGCTCAGCTACCCTAACCGTTTCCTTTTTGTAGTCCATAAGTTCTTTTTCACAAAGGAGAGGAGGTGTCCTCTTGAACCACTACTTAAAAAATTGCACACATACTAGAAATCTAGGCAGAACACAATTAGTTACATTTTATCCTTTTTATTAATAATAATAGGAAATGGCATCAAGTTGCATTTTTTTCCTCTTTAAAAATCTACTTAAAACTAAATTAACTCTACAGCTAGCTTATAACCAAAAGGAGGATGCTTCTGAAGTGGGTTTCCATTTCCTCTTTTCACAGGGAAAAACAAAGCAGTAGGAACTCTAACAAGGCGGGGTGGGAAATACAATCTATGAGTTTAAAAATGGAGTCAAAAAGCACAGGAAAAGCACTAGATTGGAAATCGAGTAATCTCAATTACTCTATTTTCTCAACTATAAAATGGGGATAATATTTTCCCTGTCCACTCTTTAGGGTTCCTGTGTGATAAAATAAAAAACACAGAAGAAAAACATCTGAAAATGTATATGTGAACTAAAGGTTTACCCACTTAACCTAGCAGGAGGTCTTTGTTGTTGCTAATTTCACTTAAAAAACACTGACCAAAGTGAAACAAAATGTTTTCCCCAATATTTCAAATATGCTTCAAGTCCTTATGCTGACTTTCAGAGAAAACACAGTTCAATGAAACTAATAAATATCCCATATGTGGTATACACTGAGCCGGGCAGATGGGCAGTATTTCTTAAGTACCTATCTTAAAAAAGAAAAATCCCTAAAATAGCCATTAAGTTATACTGACTGAAGACTAAAATACCCTAAATGGCAGATATGCTAAATACAATGTAAAGAAGCAATAAAGCTCCAACAGTGTGGTCACTGTCTGCAGTTTTTGTCCCATAATTTAAAAGACTTTAAGGAACGTCATGTAGTTATTCATAAGCACAATAAACACACTTTACAGGCTACAGCAACTGTGTTTCAGATCCTTCTTAAATTACCATCAACTTCCTTTTCTATGAGGTCCATCCTGCTGGTGACTTCTTTCTGTACGTTCTCTATGTGCGTAAGGAGATTGAGCTGCCACTGAAGATGAGAGTCTCCCGGGTCTTCAGTGCTCTTTTTATCATTGTAAACAAATACTGTATTCCTTTCAGCTGGATTCTTCTCCAAAGAAGCAACGGAAACAAAGAATTGGATGAAATGTAATGTCATGTCACACAGGGAAAGATACATTAAAAACCTCATTACCCAAGAGGATAGGTTAAAATCCAATCTGACCCCCAGAATATCATTAAAGGGAGCACAAGCACATTATTAAATTACACCTGATGGCCCTAAAAAAGCAGACACGCCTGCTGTGTCTCTCCCCAATGCCCAGCCCAGGGCTACACAGGATAGAAGGCCTCCAATCAAACCTGCTGAAGAAATGAAGGAGCTAGTTATACATGTATGCCTGCTGTGTCTCTCCCCAATGCCCAGCCCAGGGCTACACAGGATAGAAGGCCTCCAATCAAACCTGCTGAAGAAATGAAGGAGCTAGTTATACATGTATGCCTGCTGTGTCTCTCCCCAATGCCCAGCCCAGTGCTACACAGGATAGAAGGCCTCCAATCAAACCTGATGAAGAAATGAAGGAGCTAGTTATATATGTATGCCTGCTGTGTCTCTCCCCAATGCCTAGCCCAGTGCTACTCAGGATAGAAGGCCTCCAATCAAACCTGCTGAAGATATGAAGGAGCTAGTTATATATGTATGCCTGCTGTGTCTCTCCCCAATGCCCAGCCCAGTGCTAAACAGGACAGAAGGCCTCCAATCAAACCTGCTGAAGAAATGAAGGAGCTAGTTATATATGTAACTAGGAAGCCCAGATAATTTAGACTGACCCCTTCCTCAATTAATCTAAACTGTGTTTTAAGTGGGGTGAAGGCAAAAAGCAATATGAAATAAAATTAAGGAAGCTGGCAGAAGCCAGCATAGTGTCCTTAACTGCACACTAGAATTTACTATTGCAGCTAAATCAATGAGATGAGGGGAAAATAAAAATCTTTCAAAAATTTAAAAAGTGCTGACTGCTTAACACACACACAAAATCTGAGCTCAGATTCACCAGCAGTAACTCACTTCATAAGATGAATATTAATTTGACAAATAATTCACCACAAAATTTCATGTAATACAAGCTATTCAAATTCAGTTAAGTATTTACTTATAGAACTTACTTGATAAAAGAGGCCAGAAAGATAAAGAACTGATTTTAAAGCAGTATTGCTAATTGAAAATCAATAAAAAATGAAGGCATGACATCTCTAAGTTATGAATAGGAAATAAGTTTATAAATATTCAATGTATACAGAGCTATAAGAATTCAGCTTATTGCATAATGGGATTGATATACATATACAAATATGCTAAAGTTTAAAAAGACAACCGGACTGCCACTTCTTATCTGAAACATGCACAAAAGAACACAAGTTATATTAATATATACACACCCATATGCACTTTCATGTTTTTAACACATAGATGTTCTCTGGGAAAAAATGTGGTTCATGGTTTTTAGAGACATCTAAGTGCACTTATAAAATTAGAACTTTTGTTAAGGCGAAAGTTTAATGAATTATTCTATTTCTGAATTAGGGGATAATTAAGTGTTCAAAAGGTCAGTGTGTTCTTGGAGAGACAGCAAAGAATGTCTTTACCCTAAGAAGGTACTTATGAACTTGGAAATATAAGTAAAATCGGGGAATTCAGTATGCCTTATTTCACGAAACTTTCCTTTGTTCTATCGTATTTCTAAGCAAAGCCAAATGAACTACTTATACCTTTCCGGGCCTTCCATCTTCTTTTACTGGATATCGTAAACGGTTTTTATCTCTTGTGTGATATTCTTGTTCTTCTTCAAAACTACTAATATCATCATCATCTGAGCTCCCAGGGTCTGCAAGAGATTTGCAGTCTGGACCAAAACTTTGTGGCTTTTGGTAGCTGTGCTCACTTGTTATATAAGTTCCTTCCATTTTGGGGGGCAAACGAGGTGGTTCTTTGTGGTTCTGTACGTGATACTTCTTTTCTTCCACATTAACTGTGTTTTGCACCATTATTTTTTTCTCCACCCCAGCAACCACTTGATCTTGATCTTTCCTCTTCCCCGGACAAGCCCAGAGACGAAGGTCGGGATGATGCTTATTCCTTAAAACAAAGTTGGAGAAAAAGTTCAGGGGTGGGGGGGGGTAAGTGTAGTAACAAGTTTTTTGTTGTTGCTGTTGTTTTAAGTTTTTTTTTTTTTTTTATGTGGACCTTTGCCATCTAATGCAAAGGGCCAACTCACTGGAAAAGACCCTGATATTGGGAAAGACTGAGGGCAAGAAGAGAAGTGGGCAACAGAGGATGAAATGGAAGGATGGCGTCCCTGACTCACTGGACATGAGTTTGAGCAAACTCTGGGAGAGAGTGAAGGACAGAGAAGCCTGGCATGCTGCAGTCCATGGGGTCACAAGAGTTGAACACAATTTAGCGACTAAACAACAGCAACCTTTGCACACAAGTGCGGATATCAGTTAGATACAGAATTGCTAGAAAATGTCTGCACATTTTAATTCTGACAAGTACTGTCAAAGTGGCCTCCAAAGAGGTGTACTAATTACGTGCTCACTAACAGTCCAAGATAATGTATCTTTACCACCATCCTCACTGAACACTCGAGCATGATACTGCACAATTGATTCTGTAATAATTAAAATTCTGCAATAAAAGAGGAATCCTTTTTTTAAATTCTATAGTGAGTAAAAGAAGGACATTCTGAAGACAAACCCAAGTCTTGTTTCGGAAGCTATAAATTTTATCTTTTAGACCCCTTATTATTTAATATCCAGAAAACACTATAATTATTCAACAGTAGAAGGAGAGCTAGACTTGTAACTCAATAGTCCAATGGGTAGAGTCCTGGCTCTGCCTTACAGGAGGAGCTTGGACGAGTTACAGAACCTCTGTCTTTGATCACCCATCCATCAAAGTAAGGTCATTATTGTAAGGATTAAATATCATAAAAAACCACCATTTCAGGGACCTAGTAGACTTTCAATAAATACTAGCTACTGATAATAACTACTATTAGTAGAAACATTAACATAAGCAGAACCTGTAGGCAAGAGGCAAAATTTGTGCAGTTGAAATCTTTACTGAAATTACAAATGTTCAGAAATTCATATTGATATCAAGGAAAACCACATTTTTTTTAGCCTAACTTTATAAATTAGTTTCTTTCTTGAGTTTTAGCATTTGCATGACTTTTTTATGAAAAAACTCATCTTCAGGTTTATGACATCCAACAGAAGCAAATTTCATTTGTTACTGAGAACCTATCTCTCCACTAAGCTCTAGGAATGAAATGATGAGTAAGACACAAGCCCGATCTTCCAGGAACTCAAGGCTTAGTAAGGGAAGACAGTCATAAACAAGGTACACCAAAGTGCCTGATACCAGGATGCATGGAGTCTGCCAAAGACATGATCAGTTCCAGTAGGCCAGTAAAGCAACTATACTCTAGTAAAAATTAAGTTAGAAACAAAAAACAACGGACTTAGCTTGGATTAAAACTCACACCTAACCGAGCCCCTGCCTTGGCCACCCTTCACTTACTTGAGTATTCCAATCTTCAGCTGTAACCCGTGCAGGACTTCTGTAACACCACAGACGTCAGCAAGCAGGTGGTGTGTGGAAACTATCTTTTTGGCATTGAGGTGAGAGTAATTTTCTTTTAAAAATGATAACCCACACATTCTCCCATTATTCAACCAATCCTTATCATAGCGATACTTTGCACTCCATCTCTGACCTGTAGATGAAATTGAGATTACAGTGACAAAGGAGTCCATTCACTCAAGACTTCCCTTCAACTGCTTCCCGACCAATATCACTCAGTAAACGAGGTAAGCTCTAGGACTAAGAACAAATTCCAAAGATGAGCAAGGTGTTTTGAAGAGTTGGCACTATTTAGAGTTCTTCCCACAGTCAGATTTCCTGCCCATTAAGGAGGACAAACTCCATTAAGGATGTGGTCAGTGGCAGGTCACACCTTCAGAGAAACCTTGAGTGTTGCTTTTTATTTTTTAAGTATCTGTCATCTGTTCTCTAAAAAGGTCGAAAGGGGTAGATAGAAACAAGGAGTTGAACTGGACGAAACATAGAATTCTAGTTAAGTGAACAGGGACCCCTCCTTCATGTCTAAGAGCTTTGTATCTATAGAATCTGATAGAATCCAATATCTTCACTATCAACAGTGATTATATCCAGTTACAATTAGCTGCTTCTATGTCCCCTACTATATAGTGAGCAAGTGGAAGGCATGGTTACCTCTTACCTCATCTTACCTCTAACCACAGAGACTGGCAAACAGAAGGAACCCAATAAATGCTGCTGGATGAATGAATGAACAAATGCCTATATTCATGAAGGTTTAAATAACTCTCCTGCTTCTCCATGTTATTCATCTGATAGACACAAGAACAAGGCAGGAGCCTTTATCTGAGATGCCCACACAGGCTCTGCTGGGGAGCTGGAAGCACACACCATGCGCAGAACACTGCTGCTCAAAGAGCCCCTGCGGTGAGGAAGGCCAGGTGCAGGCGCCCCTCTCGGCACGGCCAGTCTGACCGTCTTGAGCACAAGGCACGTGATGCCCAGTGTCCTACTTGCCTCATCAGTAAAACAAAGGGGTCAGACGTGGTACCTGGACATCCCACCTGCTCTAAAACTGCAAGGTCATGCAGCACTCCCAGACACTCATTCAAAACCCTGTCAGGACCATATATTAACCTATTTAGAAATCAATACACAGGAGTACATTAAAGAGTGAGTTCTTCTCCAGGAAAAAGCCACAACCCAGTCCTTCCAGTAAGGTGTTAATTATGCTGATGAATTTATGCTAATGCTTTAAGTAACTGATGTGGAAAATAAAACTGTAACAGCGAAAACCACTTTTAAGTTTTACCAAGGAAGCAGTGTGTAGCTGACACAGAAGGTGGGACGTCAGACAGCGGACGCACGGTGGGACCTGCGAGGGGACACTGGGGCTTACCCGGGGGGTCCCGGCAGATGTAGCAGAGGTACTGCTCCGGGATGCTCTCCTCCAGCAGTCCCATGCACACGCTGTGCTGCCAGCACAGGCACTCTTCACACTGCCAGAAGACAACCGCGTTTACTTGCTGGGAACCGAGACAAGCCCCTTCTCTTCAGCTACCTGGCCAAGTCCTGTGGCTTTCGTTGGCTCACTTCTTAATCCACGTCTCAAAAGCGAGCCATGACTTACCATGAGCTTTACTTTATTTAAAGTAGACTATTTCAGGAACTTGCTCTTGTTGCACTCATTAACATGTGCTTTAGTAAACTGACTTAATCACAAGTCAGTCATAAAACTACGTCTCCTATTTTCCACATCCTTAAAACTTAAAAATTGTTTATTAAAGTACAGAAATTAAAAAAAGAGCAAGTTTGTAGCAGTGTGTGCGGCAACAACCTTGTGAAGTACTACTTGTGTGGTGAACCTACAAACCTGTGGTTCCCTTATTTGAGAAAACCACTGGGAAGCAGGGAAAAGAAGAGTGAGAGGGAAGTTCCTCTTTCTTCATTCCTAGAACTGACATCTCCAGATCTTCCAAACGTCATCACAAAATATGGGTTATGCTTTCCTTTTGTCTCAAAGATCCCTTTTCTACAGGGAGAGGTGATCTGTAAGGGTAATCCTTGCAACAAAGCTTTCCTTTAATCTTTGATATTGTGGAAACTGTTTCAGTTATTTGCCCTTTGAAAGGTGACAACATAAATTACTAGACAACAGGACCCAGACCAGCAGAACAGTTCTATGGTCTCCCCTTCAATGTGGAAGCTTAGCCATTTTAATGGCTCTCGAAAAGAATTTTAGCTTTTGAAAACCTCAAAATAAACACCCTGGAGACAGGTCCTCAGGTAAGAAAACTCACTTCATCTGAAGACGAGACCCACCAGTCATTAAAACTGGTACTTTAAACATGATGACAAGCTAGAAACCTTCATCTTCCAAAGGACGGGGAGGGAAAAAGAGAACACAGATGCCCCCACGCACATGCCGAGCAGCTGCACCGACTGATTCCGTGTGAAGGGAACACAGGTCACCTGAATCATGAAGCCATTCTCCTCGTCCAGCTCACAGACGCATCGCACAATTTCATTAAGGGCATCATCTTCATCCTGAGATTCTTCAAAATTCGTTGAATCAAAGTCCTGATTGTACTCATCCCCACTGAGGAGCAAACTCTCCGTGGAAGAATCATCAAGGAATTCCATGTCTGATAAGTCTAGAACATACATAAAAGTGCGCTCAGCACTGCTTTTTCCATTTTTATGTCATTTTCTAGAAAGAAAGACGCTATGAGAAGTGCATACAAGCTATTAAGTATTTAGACAGGGAGGACAGATGAATGGGAACAGAGTATTTGTTGCTAATCAAAGAAACAAATGAGTTTTGAAGCTTGGGTGACTGTGATTATTTTACATCTTATGTTAATACCATTACAAGTGACTCAGAAAGTATCCTCTAGTCCAGCTGCTTATAGAAGTGATGGCCAGTGGATATTAATAATTAAAATAGGCAGTCTTCAAATGCTTTCACAAACATTATCCCTTCTGATCCTCACAACAATGGGTCACAGAAAGGTTTTATTTTTGCACCATACAGATACACAGCACTTCAGGGAAGTGAAGGAGCTTGCCTAGCAGTTAACAGCAATATGACTCTTTAACAGTCTCAGTAGCAGCAACCACCACTGCACTTCAGAAACAGCAGGGACCACATGAAGCACTTTATATGTAAAACACACAACCTGCCTGGTAGTGCAGCCAGCGCGTGGTAAAGCCAACTGCGTGCCAGGACTGCCTGACTCTAGAGCCTGTGCACTCATGGATCTCACCGGGATTTCTTAAACCGGGATTATGAGTTCCCTGAGGAATTTAGTAACATTCTAAATTTCATTTTGATAAAAATCTAAAAAAAACAAGCACATCCCAGAAGTTAAGATTATATGGTTGACCACTACATACGACTCTATTTAAGTGCTAGCTTTTAGATTTTTTCTTGTAACAGGGTCAAGTCAAAGACTACCATTTAGCTCAGGCTACTGAGGAAAAATAACTGAGGCAAACATATAGAAATACCTGAGTGATGACAAAAAGAAAGAAATAACGGCAGGACACTAGAGGTGTGCCAGAGTGTGGCTGGAGAAATGCTGGGGAACCTGAGTCATCCCACTGCCCGGAGACTGCTAAATGGGGGCCACCCTCGGAGGAGAGAGCAGAGTGGGCTCCTTCCTCTCTGCCTCACCTCCCTAACTGGCAGTCATGGGCTCAAACATTCCTCCACTTGCTCTTATTCACCTCCCCTTTCCAGAATGTTGAGTGTCCGGGAGAGCAAGGACTTTTGCACTGCTGACTGCTCCGCAGCCAGTGCTCAGAGTGAAGCCTGATATATACGACAGACACTCCAGAATGTTTCTGGAAGTGGGGAAGAGGGAGTCGTGATATAGAGAAAATTTCCTTTTCAGATGAATCAGATCAGATGCAAGCTGCCTGAACTCAAACTAAGTAATTCATGCTATTTGTATTCTAAATATTTCATGTGCTCTAGTTTCCTTATCAGCTTCCAATCTTGGCTATTTTTTCCCTGATACGATGTTTTTGAATGTTTTGTTTCTGATTTATAAAAAGTTAATGTTTTATAGAAAAAGACATGTTTTTTTCTCCTTACAATCTTGGGACATCTTGGAGAATGAAGTCAGTAGAAATGAGGATATTGGTAAAGAAATACAAGAAAACATTCAAGCAGCAAGAAGTAAATCAATTAGCTATTATAAAATATTTCAATATTAACAATCTGAGTAAGAAATTTCACTATTCATACTCTTCCTAACTTAAATCCAAACCCTGTATTTTCTCTTGAGCTTCCCTGAACACAAGTTCATGGATCAAAAAGCCAGACTAGAACACAGATGAACAGTTTCAGACACTGTTGCACACATACGTGGTATTAAACAGATGGTAATCATAACAGTAATGAATTTAACTTAAAAACTGTTACCCTTAGAAGGAATTAGGGTATATCTTACATGGGCTTGTATAACCAAAACAGCCAGGCTTTACGGTGTTAGAAGGCAAATTTGATATATTGGCCAGAAAATCCAGTTTGACTAACTCGCAAGCATCAAAGCAGTATTTGGCTGAACTCTGGAGGCTAAGTAAATGGGTCACAGGGTTGAAAGTTAAGTAAGAAAAGCAGGTACAGGTTCCCTCTCGCACTGGAACACCACCTGATGACAGCTCTAACCGAGTGGCCCCAGCACACTGCTGCCTCCAGAACTCTCACTGCTGTCTCCAGACAATAGTCCCCAAGTGCGCTGTCCAGGTCAGCACTGCCTGGGAACTTGTTGGAACCCAGAAATTCTCTGGGTAAGCCCCAGAGATTGGTTGTAAGAAGCTCTCTAGTTGGCTCTGATGCACCCTTGCTTTTGAGAACCTCCCCACTTTCCTTCTCAGGGCTCAGCACTTGAACACATGAAGGGCAAAGAAAGCCAGCCGACAGGAGAGCATACCTCAGGACACTCTTTCCAGCCCCGCTCACGTGTTCTAGTTCCGGCCACACCACTCGCCCATCCCCCATTCTCCATCACTCTGCATAAACAGGTGATCATCAGAACTTGATGGCTCACAGGATGGGGGTTACCTCATTTTCAATACTGGCTACCAGGGCTACCTTGCCAGGATGTGCCCTTCCAAAAACCCCAGATCTGTACTCTGCTGCAGCACCTAAAATATCTGGTATTTTAGCCTCACACCAATGAATATAATATACACCTGAGGTTAAGAACCACTGGCCCAAAAGGGAAAAGGGGATGGAACTTTCCCTAGTCCTTCCTCCCCCATTTTTCTTAGATTTGAGATTTTTTTAAATCTCACAAGTGCTATGTGCTTATTTTAGGGTCAAGAGAAGAATATACTTTTCTGTATCATGAGCTAGAGGGGAGTCAGGCCTGGAAGAGAGCAGGCGGTAACAGTGCCAAAGAGAAAACATGACCGGGCATCCACCATGCAGGGCAATCAAGAAGACAGGGCACCCCCTAAACAGCCCTGGGATTTCACACAGGACGGAACCCCATCCTTTATCTTTCATTCCCTGACTGTGTTAGAGCTCTGGTCTCAAGCCACTGCTGTCAACGTCTATAGTTAAGAGTCTCTCTTCCCATTGCTTAGAACACTGGCAGGGGAGAGTCCTTACCTCCTCCACCATCGGGACTGGACTTGCAGGAAAACCTGAGCCATTCCAATGCCAGGGCTCATCTCATCGCCTAACTGGCTTTCTGTCAACATGCCTTACACCTGAATGTGTTCAGATCACTGACCTGACCACATTTCCAGACTTTTGGTTACAGAGAGATCTGTGATCCGGCATTCAAAGTGTCTTTTTAAGACTAGGATAAAAATCTGGCAGAAAAAGCATTTTCTTAGGAGTTAAGATAGACCTTGGTTTGAATTTTAATTCTAATGCTAATTAGTCCCATAAGTTACTTAACCTATTAGCCTCTGCTTGTTTATGCAGTGTGATTAGCAATACCTATTTTATAAGCTGATAGTGAAGAATATGAAAATACAAGTAAAAACACCCATAGAAGACCAGTACACAGTGGACACTAATTGTTTCCTTACCACCTGTCCTACAATTAAGTAGAAATGCTCATTTTACTTCATATAAATTTTAAAAGTAGCTAAATTTCTAACGTTGAGATTTTCATATTGGTTTATGGAGTAACTTTTTAAATTGTGTGCCCTGCTCAGACAGGACTCGATTAAGTATGCGTTGTTCTCAGTTCCACATTTAAGAATCTTAAGGCTTTGTTTTAAGCATTACATGGTTACACATACTTTCACCACTAAGATCAACTGACAAGATTGCCCTTGGGTACTGATATGTTGTATTTTTCTCCGTAAACATGCTTCGCAGAGCCAGAGAACTCCCAGAAGATCGAGTTAGTGGAGAAGAGCACCTTTCCAAAAATTCTAGGGAACTGTCTTCATAGTCTGAATAGTCTGCAACATAAGATACATAGAGAAATATTAATAAAGTGTCAAGTAATCAAGAAGAGTCACTACAAAAATAACGAGAAGGTCATGTTTTATGACACATAAACAAGCACGCCACCACTTTCTCTTCTCATCCATGAGCAGCTAGATCATCACACATCTGATGAACTGTCTTTGGCAAGAGCATTGGGAAATACACCGCAGGCAGTGTCCACACAGCAGGGAGCACCAGGTTCTAACTGGTACCTACAAATTCTTATTAAGTAGTCCGGAAGTGAAAAAGGATTATAGCTACATTTTCTCTTCATCGTAATCACAGCTACGTCTGAAGTTAAGATGTGGAAGATGGAAATTAACTGTTTGCTTTTCTTCTTTTTGGTAAAGAGATTCTCATGATGTCTAGCATGTCAGTTATCACAGTGATAATTCAACCAATAAATTCTTCAGCAGAAAACGTCTGAACTGTATTACATGTTCCAGAAAGAAATTAGTCAAAGTTCTGTCTTCTTCAGCTTAGACTGAGTAGTGCAGAAGGACTGGCTGAGTTGGGTGTGGTCAGGGACAAAGACAGGAGAGGTGTGAGTCTAGGCACAGGGGGCGGCCACCAAGCAGAACCCTGTGCACATCTGAACGGCGGGACAAGCCCGTGGCCAGGACACAGTGAGGGAGGGAGGCGAGAAATGAGGCCAGAGTGACAGGAGCCAGATCACACTGAAGGTAAGACTTCTTTTTGTTTTTAAAGGAACAAAAGTCAGTGTGTATAAGGAGGAATAAGATGTGACACCCGTTTTACAGCTGTGGAATCGAGGGGGAAGTCCAGGGAGCATGAATAGAAATGGGGACACACTTCAGAGGCAGTGGTACAGACCAGACAAGAAATGCTGGCGGCCTGGGCTGGGAGGATGGCAGCTGAGGTGACATTTGAAAGCAGACACAGTGATCTGCAGACTGGAGACGGAGGGCTGTGAGTCGCCATCATGGGCAATTTCCAGGTTTCTGCTTGAACAACCTGGTGCTGAAACTGGGGTTCTGAGATGGAGCAGAAGCATAAATAGGTGGTGGAGAAATCAGAGACGAAATGTGAGTTCAGCACAAATCTAAACATGTGGTGGGGGTGGTGATGGGGGGGTGGTGGCGGGGATCGGGGAGACATGCCAGGATTCAAGAATAAAGACAGGCAGTCCTTCCGTTTGGGTAGAGGCAAAGGAGAGGACTGACGTATTCAGGTAAGTACACAGACGTGGAGGAGAAGAGATGAGCCAGTGTTCATCTGATGGCTCCCATTTCCTCAACTGAGTGTGAGGCAAAGGATGTAAACTAATGCAGATGAGGGAATAAATGAGAGGTAGAAAAGGCTGAAGAATCATAGAAAGTGGAAAGGAATGTTTACAAGAACAGTCCAATGCTGGTGCACATTGAGTCTCAGCCATTTGAAGCTGCTGCTTATGGGAGAAAGAATAACAGTCCCCTAAAATGTCCATGGCCCAATCCCTAGAACCAGTGGATATGCTGGATCACATGGCTAAGGGGAATTAAGGCTGCTGATGAAATCAAGCTGGTCATCAGGTGACTTTAAAATAAGAGACTATCCTGAACTATCTGGGTTGGCCCAGTATAATCACAAGGGTCCCTAAAAGTAAGAGGGTGGCAAAAGAGTCAGTGTCAGAGGGATGTAAACTAAGACAAGACCTGAGCCGCCACCACTGGCTTTGAAGAAGGGCGGGACATGAGCCAGGACATGCAGTGGCTTCTGGAATCTGGGAAAGGCAAGAAAATGGATTCTCCCCAGAGCCTCCAGAGAGGAGTGCAGTCCTGACACCTTGATTTTAGCCCAGTGAGGCCCATTTTGGACTTACGACCTCCAGAACCTTAAGATCATCAATGTGTGTTGTTTCTCACTCACTGTTAAGTAGCAGTGTGTGGCAGCAGCAGTGGTCATCCTAAACACCATGGCATGGGCCATGTTCATCAAGGGCTCTCTAGGTGCCAAACATGAGCCTAAGTGTTTTATGGGTACCAACTACTCTTAATCCTCACAGCTCTCCAACAAAGAACTACTACTGTTAGCGCTGTTATACAAATGAAAAAACAGGCAGAAAAGGTTAAGTTGCCCAAGAAGACATAGCTATCAGCGGCAAAGCCAACATTCAAACCCAGACAGTCTGACTACAGAAGCCTTACTCTTAACCAAAAAAGCATTATTAGTAGATTTCAGCATCTGATACACACTGGAAAGCTTGTTAAAACCACTTCCTCATTCAGCAGTGGGATGCTCCTAGACGATGCTCATGCTGCCAGACCTCAGAGTCATCTCCCAGAGCCTCCCCGGAACCGCAAAGCTGCTAGCATCATGTTACTTGAGCACAGGTGTGGAAATGTGAAGGGGATCTACTAAATGCTAGCCAGGTACTGAGTAAAGTACTTCATAACAATTACCTTATGGCATCCTAACAATGAATCTACATAGCAGAAACTATCATCACCATTTTTCACACAAGGAAACTGAAGTGTATATAATTTAAATAACTTTAGCTCTAAGTGTCGCAATTGGGATGTGAACGTGCCCACTCAGCTCTCAAAAGCTGCCCTTTTACTGACTACATGTTACAACGCCCTCTCAGTGAAAGTGTTAACTATTGGTTCAGTATAAAAATAATGGTATAAATCTCGATTTGGTGTTAAAAATAAAACATGGTGGACATTTAATCTCTGTACAGTATATTAGCATTGAACAAAATTTCCTAGCATTCTACATGCATGCATGCATGGTAAGACACTTCAGTTATGTCTGACTCTTTGTGACCCTGTGAACTGTAGCCTACTGGGCTCCCCTGTCCATTGGATTCTCCAAGCAAGAATACTACAGCAGGTTGCCATGCCCTCCTCCAGGGTGGTCTTTCCAACACAGAGACTGGACCCATGTTTCTTATGTCTCCTTATGTCTCCGGCAGGTGGGTTCTTTACCACTAGTGCCACCTGGGAAGCCCTAGCATTCTACACCCAACCTGTATTCCCCACTCTCATACCCTATGGCTATTATGAATAGTAGTCTACTGCTATATTTCAGGGTTAGACCAAATGTCATCTTCTACATAAAGCTTCACTAAGTAGAATTTATTTTGTACCACTTTTACCACACACACAATACATCACGCTAGATACTTAAACACATACTCCTTACCACTTCCAACATATATGCTTGCTTACAAGCACCTAGAAGGGAATCTTTGTTTTTCTATACAATACTTTGGATTCTCTTTGCATTTCTCATTCTAGTTCTCTTAAACCTCTGTATGTCTTCAGTTTCCCCATATTTACAGATACATAAAAGACAAGGAGATGAAGCGATTTGCTCAAAATAACAAAGTTAAAGACTGGCAAAGATGTCACTCTTAAATAAAATCCCAACATAGCAATTTCTCAGACACACGGACTGAACACAATGTTAGCTTTATATTAAGTAAACTAATTCTGGTAATCAAAACATCTGTCAACCCACAATTGTATGGAATAATTATAAAGGATCATTTAACTACTATTTTCCATAGCTTCATTTAAACTAACAGATAACTACTAAGGACTTATTATGTTAACAGATAGAAGAAAGGAAGAATGCATAGCCTAGAAAACAATATTTAAGGTAGGGAGGTCAAAATTAACAACACAGCATGAATATTAAGACTCAGAAGCTAGACTGCCTGGATTTCAATCTGCTTTTCTTCACTTACTAGCCATGTGAGCTTGGACAACTCTCTTTATCTTTCTGTTTTAGTTAACTGTTTATAAAATGGGGAGAGCAGGCTCCACCGTGAAAGGGCAACATGGGAGTTACATGAACTAGTATATGTGACATGCTTAGTACTTGGTACATAAGAAGCATCACAGGATATGCAAAATTGCACTGAGTGGTAAAAGGAAAAGAATTTTTTAAAACTCCTTGATGGTAGCAATTGCAGACTAAAATACATATTCTATTAGGAACACATGCAGTAATAATGTGAATTCTTTAAAATTTAAGATGTCCTTAAAATTTCAAAGTTATTTAAGACCCCCTATTTAAGTTTAAAGAACACTCTTCTAATTTAATCACCTGGGGGAAAGTGTCATTTCCAAGATGAAGTAAACAGCCCAGAATAAATTTTCCTCAAATGTATTAATTGAAAAGATGCTAGTGATTACCCGACCTAACACCTGCTGTGTACAAAGAGCAATGCTCCTTTGCATCACTAGTCTTTACCAGGACTCTGTTTTCAAAGTTAAGACTTTCATTTATAGATCTGATTTTACATTGCAAAGATATGAGGTTCTTTTTAATTTAAAAACATGCAACTTTTTTTCAAGAATTATTTCTTTAATATGTGCTTAGTCCCCCAGTCATGTCTGACTCTTTACGGGCTGTAGGCCACTAGGCTCCTCTGTCCATGTGGATTCACCAGGCAAGAACACTGGAGTGGGTTGCCATTTCCTCCCCTAGGGGATCCTCCCAACCCAGGGATCAAACCCATGTCTCTGGCGTCTCCTGCGTAGCAGGCGAATTCTATACCCGCTGAGCCATCAGGGAAACTCCATGGCTCTTTATAAATAGTGTTGCCATAGGTCATGGTGGGCTACAAGTCTGAGGTGCAAATTTTCTCTGAACTTGTCCAAGACTTAGTCATCCCTGGAGAAGGAAATGGCAACCCACTCCAGTATTCTTGCCTGGAGAATTGTATGGACAAGGGAGCCTGGAAGGCTGCAGTCCATGGGGTCAAAAAGAGTCGAACAGGACTAAGTGACTTTCACTTACTCGTCTTAATCATTCTCCTTTCTTTAAGTCATCGTTTCCTGCAGTCTCACTTGCCGTCACTATCCCTCACTCTGCTGCCAAGTATGGCCTGCTTCTGACTTTGTTCTTCATCAGCCACTCCTTGTTGTCTGTTCCCTACTGTCACAGATGCTTCAGTACAGGAGATTCTGCATCTGCTATAGCATATTGGAACAGTCCTGTTTGCTGATGCGATGTTAAGGTGACTTAAAAAAAGCATGGCCCTTCCTGCCCTGATGCTTCGGTGTCTCCACTGGAACACCCACGGCAGCCAAATACCCTCAGATAGTTCATTTGGCATCTGGCCTGCAGTGTGACACTTGTCATTTCTGCATTCTGATACATCACCATGGGAGAGAAGTCACTAAACAGGAATCTGGGGTTCCTGGTTTCTGTTTATCTACCTTTTGGTTCTCTCCGGTATGGCTTCCACAGAGCTATCTGTGAAGGGGTGGGGTCAGACAGAAAAGCTGAGGAGCAAGGCAGAGTGTCTGGGAAGTGGGTTCAAGTATTTCAATGCCATTTTGATTCCATATCTTTAAATTTACTTTAGAGTTAGAGAATATAGAAACTTTATATCCCATGGGAAGATCAGATGCTATTTTTGGCCTATAGAGAGAGTTAAAATCTGAAGAATTTACCAACAATGATTACAAACTCACTTTTTAAAGTAATTCATTGGTGTCATAGTTTCTGAAACTTTTTTTATTTGTTTGATGCATATGGGGGGAAAACGGATATGACATAAAGCAGATAAATACTACAAAATACTTAGGTACCCACCATGCACTCTGAGAGAGTATCACTGTCACTTTTGGAAGGTTCCTTTGTGCCACCTTCCAATGTGAACTAAAAAGTCCTTTCTCTACCTCAGAAGCAACACTAATTCTGAATTTTATTCATCATTCTCTTGCTTTCCTTTATGCTTTTGCTACATACATTGGAACCTCTAAAAAACATACTGCTTAGTTTTACAACTTTTAGATGTTTACATAAATGAAATTGTAAAACTGTACATGTTTTCCTCTGTGACTTGATTTTTAGCTTATCCATTTTGTTCATGAGATTCCAATGGGTATAATCCATTTATTTACAAAGTGACACAGATTCCACTAAAGGACAGGTGGACACAGGCCAACGCCAGTGCTGCCGTGAACGTTCTTGTACATGTCTCCCGGCTGTGTGAGTTTAGTTCAAAATCTGAGGTCAACTCTACTCTCATCAGAAAAACATCATGGCCTTCCCACGGTGGTGGTGCCACTGTCTCCACCTCCTCAGCACATCCGATACCATTCACCTCATAATTTCTGCCAATATGGCAGAGAAGAAATAGATTTCACTAGGTTCTAAAAGTTACATTAGGCAGCTTCACCTAAGAGTGTGCATTGTCTTATATAAGCATTTTCAGGTTTCCACTTCTGTGAAATACCTATTACCTATTAAACTCTTTCGTCCATTTTCATACTGGGTTTTCCTTCTCTTTTTGATCTGTAAGGGCTTGAAATACATTCTGAATACTAATACTCTGTCAGGTATTTATGTTATGATTATTTTCTTATGGTTTGTGTTGTCTTTTCACTCTGTAAGGCTTTTGATGAACCAAAGTTCCATTTCAGTCTTGTCACATTTTCAACCTTTTCTTTTGGGTTAGCATTTTAGAAATCTCTCCCCAAAGATCACAAAGATGACTTTCTATACTTTCAAAGTTCTATAGTTTTGTCTGTCACATAGGAAGTCTCATCAATATCAGTCTGATTGTTGTACATGGTGTAAGGTTGGAGTCCAGTTTTATTGTCACTATATGGATTATAAATTATTCTAATACTAATTACTTACCTACCAAACTAAGATGTCAGCTTTGAATAAACTAAGTTTTGAAATATGTATGATCTGCTTTGGCTTATTCTGTTCTTAACATATTCTATTCTTTCAAAATACCTCCCTGCTTTGATAACTGAATAGTAACTCTTCTTATTGTTCTTCAACAGTGACTATATCATTCTTGGCTCTTTACTCTTCCACGTTAAGTTCAGAATCAGCAATGAATCTATAGATTTATTTCAAGCAGCATCTTTTCAACAGTAATCTACTACCCCATGAATATGAATCATCTCCCAATTATTTAGGCTTTATGTTTCTAAGTAAAGTTTTACAATCTGCTATTCAAAGTTTTTTTTTTTAAATGTAAGTACACACAGATGCATCAAATATTTTTTCTACATTTATTAAAATTATGTTACTGTGGTGAATTTCATTAATTCATTTTCTAATGTCAAACCAACTTTGCATTCCAATCCTATATGGTCATATTTTTTAAATATCCTGCTAGATTTAATTCCATGTGTTTTGCCTCTTTGTCCACAAATAAGAACAGCCTGTGACTGTCCTTTCCCATACTATTCTCTTCTGATTTTGAGAGCAAAGCTATTTAAACCAATTAAAGTGAATTTGGGGGCTTCCCAGGTGGCTCAGTGGTAAAAAACCCACTTGCCAATGCAGAAGACCCGGATTCAATCCCTGGATCGGGAAGACCCCTTGAAGGAAGAAATGGCAACCCACTCCAATATTCTTGCCTGGGAAATCCTATGGACAGAGGAGCTTGGTGGGCTATAGTCCATGGGGTCCCAAAAGAGTTGGATACAACTGAGCACCTAAATAACAACAAACTGAATTTGGAGTTGTATGAGTTTCTTAGAGCTGCCCCCAACAAATTACCACAAAACTGGTGGATAGAAACAACAGAAGTTTATTCTCTCAGTTCTGGGGGCCAGAAGTCTAAAATTAGGTGTCATCATTTAATTTTGGCATTTTTGATTTCTTCCTTTTTTCTTAGTTCATTAATTTCTGTTCACAGGTTTATTATTCATGTTCACTTCTACTTTTTCTGGACTTAATCTTTTCTAACTTCTTAAGCTGGAGGTTTAGCTGACTTTGAGCCTTCTTTTCTAAGTTGTATGGCAACATTCTTCTCGCAAGTGCAATCTTAACTACATTTTCAAGTGTTGACACATGTATAATATTTTCAACACCTGCCAGATTCTTAACATCTTATTTATTTTCCCTTTGGCCCTGTTCTTTCATCCATGAATATTTAAAAATATTTTGCTTGATTTCTAAACATATGGGGCTTTTTGTCTTTTCAATAGTGACTTTAAGTTAACTCTCCAGACAATAATACTGAAGTTGGTGGCCATTCCGTTCTCCATCTTCCCACCCAGGGATCGAATCTGGGTCTCCTGCATTACAGGCAGACTCTTCACCGTCTGAGCCACCAGGGAAGCCCTTAGAATGTGTTGAGGTTTGCTTAAAGCTGCATCCCATGGTCCATTTTAATAAATGTCTGAGTCTATTTGAAGAAACTGTCTACTCTGCAGCTGCTGAGTTCAGTGTCCTAAACAGATTTGTTGGATCAACTACACAGCTGCCATCTTTATTATCCTTACAGACACTTTCAGGTTTTGTTAATTTATTAATTACTAAGAAAGATATGATGATGTTATTCAGTGATAAAACTCAGAAAGATGTAAAGTGAACTCAACCTTTATCACTATATGGCAACTTCCTATCTCTAAGAATGATTTTTGCTTTTATGACTATTTATTATGGTAACCTCCTATTTTTAAGAATGATTTTTGCTTTAATGACTATTTAGTGACAAGCTATTGTTAGAAAAATCATTTGTTTTTTCTCCAAGCTTTTCTAAAAATATTTTCCCTCACTTCTGTAAAGCTAATTCAAAGGACTTTAAATTCGAAATTGAGAGAAATTCCTTCACAATACACAGAGGGGTACTTGGACAGGGTATCTAGTCCACCATAACGCTGGCAATGAAAGACTCTAGTCATTGCAAGGACTAATTTACAGACCACTTAACTTAGACTGTAGCTAAACAGCTAAACAGGCAAGACAAAGAAAGGCTACTGGATGAACTGCTCAGCTCTCAAGAACATAGGAATACTGTCCTAACTCCACGTTGGTAAAAGAGAAAAGCTAAAAGAACCTTAGAATATTAAGAAATGGGAATCAGTTTTTATTTCCACAGATGTATGTGGAGCCCACAAGTGTGAAAGGCTGACTACACCGTGCCATTTGATACAAGAAACTTGAGCGTCTGTGGATCTTGGTAACCGCTGAGAGCTAATCCCCAGACACCAAGGAAGGACTGTGCTTACCATGCTGCTTAGATTTCTTCTTCTTCTTCTTCTTCTTCTTCTGCTTCGGTTTGTAGTGATCTTTGTCCCTCTTCTCTTTTCTTTCTTTATCCTTTTCTTTTCTCTTACCTAAATGACAAAAGTGAGTCAGTTAGTAATCATGACTGATCCCGAGTTGTTCCTTTGTGGTTAACCTAAAAGCAGCATTTATGGTTTAATCAGCTATTCCAGTCACCTGCCCAGAGTGGATGGATTCAATTAAACTGTTCCTGTCATGAGTCTGGAACTCCTGATTAGCTTACTGGGCTATAAGAGGGGATCTTCATTAGCAGTGTTGAGAAATCCCAACTCCTGACACCTTAAAGTTAACACAGACAGTAGTTAAAATTCTTAAATGAGTAATGTAACTCAGTTTCCTGATGTGGCAAGAAATATACTCCACAATTTAAGAAAAACCTGACCAAGGATACTCAGTATTTCCACACAAAATTTAACAAGAAAATGTATTAGAAGATTAAAAAAACTTGAACTTTTTTCTTTTGGAAAAATATTTTAAAAAACTAAGTCAAATCCACAAATAATTCCTTCAGTCTTTCAATATTTTCCACATATGTAAGAATGAAGATAAAAAGCACAAGGAAGTAAAAACTTAACTCATTAAACTAAACTTTGTCCTAAAATTTTAAAATATTTCTTTTTCCCAATCATATGCACTTTAAAGAAAATGAACAGATGTTAAAACAGTATCCTAGAACACTTATTTAAAATTAATTCATCACATATATTCAACTACTGTTCAACTCAGAAAGGTTTAGCCCACAGCTTATCAACTACATTGAACCAACTTTCAGTAACTCAAGCTCCAGGGAGCTAATTTGTAGAATATTTAAGACTATTATCCATTATTCCAAAACATACAGTCATGATAGCACAGAAGACAGAAAAGACAGCAGAAACCTTAGTAACTTTTTATAAATAAAGTAAAAAAAAATGGCTGGGAAAAAAAGGCTATATTAATTTACCATCCATTCTCTAAGGATCAACAATATTAAATGGTACCATATTTTTAAACAGTCATAATTTCAAAGATGTTCAAAAACATCAAGTTCTCAGAGAAAGCCTCAGGGTTCCTTGACAAAAAATACACATACTACTACAAGACATATATTAAGAAACCACATATTTGGAGGTGAATAAACTAATAAACACTAAAACAGAGGATCACTTACACCTAAAGGAGCACTAACAGGTAAAAAGAGACAGACTACGTCCTCCCACTGCCAAGCCAACTACAGTCTTTTGCTTAAAGATTACTTTCTGTTCATACCAAATGCAGTTGAGCTTTTTTCTTCCAATTTCACTTTTTTTTCCGTTTTCGATATTCCTGCAAGTTTAGGGGAAAAATATGTAAATTTAGTCAGAAAGGGTTAAGAGTATGGGACAATGTTTTAAATTGCAACTTCTCACAAAAGTCTACCCAAGACTCTTTTCCCCTACAGGTCTACATTATTGCCTGAACTGGTAACAAAGAAGTGGGGTTTCTTACTTCAAAGAAATAAGGATGATGTTTGGTCCTTCAGACTATTCAGATTAGATCCCTAGTTCCACCATCTATTAGCTGCACAGTCTTGAGGAAATCATTTAATCTCTCTGTGCTTCAGTTTCCTTATCTGCCAAACAGGAATAAGAGTATCTACCTCCTGCTGTTATCAGCACTACATGAGTCAAAATATGTAAAATTATTAGTGTCTGATAAATAATAGTTGCTTTTTTTCACTTTCTCCTTTATGGTGGAGTAATTTAAGACTGCATCATTTCTAGAAGTAGCATAAATGTGGGCCTAAACATAAAAAAATGTTAAGATGAATGCACTGGGCAATCAGTTAAGATCAATTCCGGCACCACAGCCTTTGGCAATCCAGGAGATGCTGAAATGCACTCTAGCAGTAGGTCCCGTGACAATTTCTCCTCCCGTGACAATTATGACAAAATGCTATTCCCGTCATCTAAATGAATTATCAAATTGCATATTAAATTATACTGGTTTTGAAGAATCAGCATAAATTTTTTAAACTAATATTTAACCTCTGTTGCCTAGAACAAATACCTTTGAACTCCATCGGATGTGTTATTAGGTAATGAGAAAAGCCAAAACAGAATTATTCTATAAATCATTTTTGGTCTTTATCCAAATGTAAGATATAAAGGCTTATTAACACATAAAAAATATTCAACTTAATGGCATTTAGGTATTATCTAATAGTCCAAAATACATTTTTAAACCAATAGTGCACCTCAATAACTGTGTTGCTGACACAGACACACTAAACCAAGCTTCTCAATTCATATTCAGCTATTCCCAATACCAATATCTTATCTGTGTCTAGGGTTAATCTAAGAAAAAGACACTAATACACTTAAATACAATTTCAGTCTATTAAATTATGCTCTAATATCACCATTTATGAGTTCAACTTTTAAATCACTCCAATAAAGTGTCAAAAAAACTAGCATTTGATTCATCTTACTGTAAATAATTTACATAATTTAAATAAAACACAACAAAAATATAAAATTACCACTCAACTTGAACTAAATGTTAATGAGGCGCTAATAATTGTTTCTAATTCAGTAAAAATATTGGTAATCTCCCTGATAAAAAGATTTCTTATGACCAAAAAATGAAAAGAACATCAAAGAGAAATGCGGTTAAACTTCCTTATTAACAAGACTGTTGAACAAATGCCTCACTTCTTTCACTAATCACTGCTTACTAACAATGACTGCATCACACCATGAAAATTTCACATATTTAATGAGATTTTCTTAAAAATGACAAGGCATTTTACAACAGAAACAATAAGAGATTTGCATTCTAAACCTTAAGTGATGGTAGAGATACACCAGAAGCAGCCCTTGACCATGATTATAGCCCCGTGGGGCCCTAATCTCCAGGAGCACTGAGTCTCCAGTGTGAAAGGTGGAACAAGTCCAGAATCCCCTGAGTGCAAGCTTAGCCACTTCAGTCATGTCCAACTCTATGCGACCCCAGACAGCAGCCGACCAGGCTCCTCTGTCCATGGAATTCTCCAGACAAGAATAAAGAATACTGGAGTGGGTTGGCATTTCATACTCCAGGGGATCTTGCTGACTCAGGGATCAAACCTGCGTCTCTTGTGTCTCCTGCACTGGCAAGCAGATTCTTTACTACTAGCGACACCTGCATGTTGTGCCTGCGTGATCAATCACTTGTCATGTCCAACTCTTTGCAACTCTATAGACACAGACCTCCAGGTGCCTTTCTGTCCATGGGATTCTCCAGGCAAGAATACTGGAGTAGATTGTCATGCCCTTCTCCAAGGGTTCTTCGAGACCTGGGGATCGAACCTTCGACTCCTGCGTCTCCTACGTTGCAGGCAGGTTCCCACTGAGTCACCTGGGAAGCACCTGGGGGTGATTCAAATGAAAGGAACTGCCTTTCAGGGATGCCTTTTCTGGCTGGAATGTGTGGGATCTCTCAGGCATTTGGAAGACAATTAACATGGTCCTGACCCTCAGCTCTGGAACACAGGTCAGCACAGCAGAACAGATACAGAAATTATAATATCAGGAGGATCCTTTAAACTATTTTCACATGTTCTGGGAGATCCCAAACCTTTATATTTGTTTTTTTTTTATTTATTTTTTAATTGGGGGAAAACTGCTTTACAGCATTGTATTGGTCTCTGTATTTCTTAACTATAAAATTTCAAAAGTAAAACTACGGAACTGAGAAAGGCTTGTCAACATTTTACACAAGGATATTAAAATAAATATTCCTATAGGCAATAATGACAGGACTTTTAAAAACATTCATGCACAAATAGATTTAAAAATAGATCTATTTAAGAATTCCACAAAAGAATAAATGTCATTTTACTAGAAGTTCTCTACATTGTCTTTATTTTACCATGCACCAGAATTTGGGAACCAAAGTACTAGGTTATTAGTTAACAGAATAGTGATTTGTAAACTAAATTTTATCAACAGAACTTTTTCAAACAAAATACTATATAATGGCCAATATAGATTACAACCCCCCCCCAACCCCCGGCCAAACGAAAAACATGATAAAAAACAAATGGGGCTATTCAGGTTAAAGCAAGAGAGACAGATCTCTGAGCCATATCTGTTTTCATGTCACGGAAAGCCCCATAATGCAGAGTGGTTTCTTCAGTGTGCTAAATATCTGATTTTTCTGGCAAAAAGAAAAAAAAAGAGGCTATCCCTGAGACTCTCCATGGAAACCCCAGGCTTTGAATAAACCATGAACATTTGGTGTGGGGGTGGAAGTAGATTAAGGAGTCTCTGGTTATGGTTTGGTTTGGTTTTGTACAATTTTGAAAAAAAAAAAAAATCAAAAACTACCCTAAAACAAAAAGGCTTTCAGAAAATAAACATGAAGTTGATATAAGATGCTGGACTAACCATCAAACATTTAAGATGCCTGCACAGCACCAGGCACAGGCAACTCAGCCACAGCTCAGTCTGATTGTTGGCCCATCCTTTCATACACTGAGCTTCCAGATTTTAACTCCTTAAAGAGGTTAGAGTAATTCAGTAACTGTCATACAGACATCCAGGAGATAAATAAGAAAAGCAGCTAACATTCCCAGTTAGTGACAGAACTAATAATAATAGAACTAAGACTCTATCCTTACCTAAAACTGATGGACTGTAAGTAAGATAAAGCATTCTGAAGATAAAATAAAAACAACGGCACCAAGTTTTACAAGGGCACCAATGACTGTTTTTGTTGCAATGTGGACAGCAATGTATTCTTAACCTTGTTTAGTCATATTGCAAGCATGTTTCCCATTAGAAGAATGTAGAGGATTAGTGCAAGTTCATTATCTCTACTAGAAAAATAAGTAAAAGCAAGTGTTAACCTATTGAGAATAGGTGTATATAATAACTGCATAATCTGCATAATATCATCATTCTTTATCTTGACTGCTAAACTCAGCAGTGAGAACGTAATCTCTCACAAGAAAAAGTAAAACGCTGTTAAACTATTCCAGTTAAGGACTAATATCCTCAGTCATTCTAAATACTCCAAGAATTTCAATTTAAAAAAAAATCCCAGAAAATGTCTTTGATACAAGCTCTGGGAAATAATGTTTTCTACAGAAGTTTTAAAATTCAACGGTAACAAAACTTACTTTTATAATTAAGATGGAAATGAACCAAGTAAACAAAAATTAAAAAAAAAAGAAACAAACAAAAACTCTTGGAACTTTGACTTCAGATGGAAGAAAACTTGGGGTGCAGAGAGAAGGCCTACAAACACAGTAAACCAGTTTTGAGAGAGTAGCTAACAAAAATGTTAAGAGAAAAAAAGCACGCAGACCACTGAGAACTTCCATGCAAGTCAGACAGGTTCACAGTTTTAATCAAAAGGTGTCCAATTAGAACACGACTTGAATTCTATTACTTCCTTCAAAAAATAAAAAATTAAAAGAGGTTAAGAGAAACAATCCCTCCCAACCCCACATTCAAATATGTTGTGACTGTGTTCAACCCTAATAAACAAGACTTTCAGTTAATTAACATTTAAAACCACGCATTTCCTTGATTTAAGCAATTGAAGTTGCCAGTCATCACCATACTTAAAAGGGTCCTCACTCTTCAACGAACTTACAAATTCATCACATTATAAAACCAAATTCCTCTACTTTTCACTTTCCCAAAAAACTACCTTGCTATTTGGACTTTCTCAAATAGTTATTTCTAATATTTAAATGAGAAAAAAAAAGCATGCATTCCCTCTACCCCAGTGCATCTTAACCATTACGAGAAACAAGAACCACACCTCAGTGATAATTAATTACATCTCCACAAATATGCTAGAAATTCTGGAAACAACAACAACAACACTAGGCTAGTACTGTGATTAGACACAAAATCACTGGAACCATGGATTTCCACACACAATCACTACTTTGACATTTTAGGATACATCATCCAGTAAGCATAACTTGACTATAATATACACCATTTACACTGGTCTATCTTTCAGTCTTGTTACTATTAGAAAAAATACATATATAAAAGAAAATACAAATATTTTCAAATGCACAACTATAAATAATCTCCCCAATGAATATATATTTTAACTTGAACATATTTTTATATATTCAGTACAGCAACAAATTCCGTATTATCAAGGCACTCTTAAGAACTTCACTTTTTGAGGAAAAGTATCTCAAAGGTTAAGGGTAATTCAAAAATCTTGTGAAAACAGGGGAAAGAAAAATCAATTATCTACAGATAGAACGGGCTTTTACAAAGTGTCCAAAGACAATGGGTAATATTTGGGAAATGACAAGAAATGCTTCAAAGCCTACAAATCTTCAAATTTGGGCATTGATTTTTTTTTTTTTAAATCAAGATATGGAAACACTATCACATATAAAATAACTTCAATCTTTTTTGATTAATGGACTTGTAGAACACTGTATACTTACTACTGGTTACATTTTTACTTTGAAAGAAGGAACAAGAAGGTAAGGGCAGTAATGTAAAAAGCATGTTTCTTAAGTTACTTCAATTGTCTTATTTTAATATCCACCAACAGCCACCAAAAAAGAGCAAGCTCTATTTCATACTTCACCCAAGGATTTGATAAAATGACTTCAGGGAAGAAGCTATTAAAATCAATTATCCCCAATGCTCTTTGGCTGCAAATCAAAAACAGTTTTACGTTTTTTTCCCATTTCAGAACTGACTCAGCACAGATCTCCTTCATCCATCTAATTCTAAATTAGTAACTTACTGGAAAGATGTTAGTATTTGCCTTTATTTTTGAATTGCACGTACTCTATGCTTGAGGTTAAAATCTTATAAAATTCCAAATAAAATGATGTAAACATATAATGGAAATACAAATTAATATTGTTACATTAAAATACTAACTTGATAAAACACCTCAAAAAGGTTTCAAATAATTACAACAAGTATCATAAAATAATCAAAAAATGTCTTATAGAGTATGATTGGTTTTACACATCGAACTCCCAAAATAACATTATAATCAATTATGGTTAAATTTGGGAGATTCTGCTCCAAAATATGGGACTATATTTAAGATAAAGGTATATTGTTAACTTACGCTAAGTGTTTCTTAAACATTAAGTTCTGTTACAATCACTGGAAAAAACCTCAATGCTGGGAAAGATTGAGGGCAGGAGGAGGAGGTGACAGAGGATGAGATGGTTAGATGGTATCACCAACTCAATGGACAGGAGTTCCAGCAAACTCCGGGAGATGGGGAAGGACAGGGAAGCCTGGAATGCTCCGGTCCAGGGAGTCATAAAGAGTTGGACACAACTTAGCGACTTAACAACATACAGTTAACTTAAGCCAAAATTCTTAAACCTATAAAAGTACTGATCCTGTTAAGTATTTTCTGGCTTCAAAACCAAGAACTTCTGTGATTATATTTAACTCTAGTAATTCCTACTTAGTAGAAACGGGATATAAGAAAAAAGTAGGGAGAAGCAAGTAAAGTGACAAAATAACAATGATGTCCAGGAAAAATGGTAGAAAATGGTCGCACAAAATGACTTTAAACCCCATCTTCCACAGCTGTTACATAAAAGCTATTTATGAAGAGGAACAACATATTAAAAAATGTAATTTATACATCAAAATGGTTTTACCATATAAATGCAAGCCTAGCTAATTTTGTAAAAATGAATCTCCTTTACCTGAGGCTGCTGGAGCTCCTCTTACATCAGTCACTGCTTTGGAAGAAAGATTTGTAAGCATCTGTGTATCTTCCTTTTCTGCTCTGAGGCATTCATTATGGTAAGAGGGATCTGGGGCTAGCGGTGTTGTGACTTCCGAACCACGACTTAAGTCAAGAGGGAGACAGGGTCCCAGTGACAAATGTGCAACGTCAGGTACTACACAGAATAAAGAACGCAATATGTTAACACAGGTACACTGTCTCAGTTAATATCAATGTGGATTAAAATGCTACATAAATTAAACAGTGCCTGGCAATCAACAAAGAAGGCACTGAACAAACATTTGTAGAATCAAATGAAGTGCTTATCTACAAAGTCCAGAGATCTTAAGAAGGAAAAAAGCAGAAATCTCTTAATATTTTAATAATCTTTATCTCTTAAGTGTTTTCTTTGTCTTCTTTTACGTTTGGTTCTATAGGAAATCAATATACATTACCCTCTGGTCCTGAAGACTCTTGCTGATTTTGAGAACTGATGGAGAATACTTTCCCATCAGTGGCTGGAGAGGGAGGAGAAACCTTTTCTACAGAATCATCAGGCATGGGCAAGGTGGCTAAACGCTGCGATCTTCTTCTCCGCTCACTATGCTTGAAAGGTCTAGGGGGGTTCACAGGCTGTGGAGGACCTAGAAAAAGATCTTCAATGTTCACGAAGCAGATACATGCCAGGATCATCTTATCATATTTAAGGAGAAAAAACGGGAAAAATGATTCAAATTCTGCCCTCTGATGTTGTTAAGGTATCCACAAGGAACAGCACATGTTCCAAAAGGAATCAAAGGCAAAAGCTGCCCTCATTCACAAGGGTTAATCAAAACTTTTAAAATCTAAAGCCTACTAGAACCAAAAGAAAATAACATGGAACATTCATTTCAGGTAGTTTCCCATGGAAAAGACTACAGTTTATTCTTTAATTGCAGATCGTTGTTAGTTGCCATTCTTCCTTTGGGAAAATTATCTCTGTACAGCCAAAGATTTCTTAAAAAAAAAAAAATATATATATATATATATATTCCTTTTGCTATATTACAAATCTAGAATCTCTAAGGAAAAAAAAAAGACAGGGGCATAGGTAACAAAAATCTGACATGCATTGTAGAGTTAGTGCTTTACTTGCTAAAGTAAAAATAATGTAAATAATTTTATCCCACCCTCATTCCCCCAAATGGATTTTTGTAAACATATGTTTGGGCCTGATTCATTAAAAAAAAATAAATTGAACACAAATAACTTTTAAGTACTCACTATGGGCAAAAAATGAGAATTTTTTAAAAATATGACAGTTCTTGCCCTCACATGTTTTTTATTTGGAAAAACTCACTGAGTCACTTAAGAATCTTCTAGCTATGTATCACACAAAAGCTTAGAAATTCTTTTTAATCTTTCATTTTTTTTCTACATAGCACATAAACATTTTTGATTACTTAGAACAGGCAGGACTACACAAGCCAGTATATTTATGTTAATTTAGAAAGAGAAAATAGGCGAGGTCTAAAAAAGTTGATGCTTTGGGTATTTAAAAGTACTTTTACAAAAATCAAAATAAAAAAGACATGGTGATAACTGAAAGAAAAAAAAAGGATAAAATTCAACTGCCGTGACACTGTGGTTATAATACTAAAATATAAAACAATTCAAAATAAAATACATATCAATGTCATCTGACATTTTAGTGACTACTAATGACATTATTTAATGATAAATGCCATAAAGAAGTGAAGCTTAGGATGAAACACTGAGTTTTTCTGTTCCCATCCTTTCAAGTCATTTATTAAACAGAACCAAAACAAAACAAAAAAGTGCCGAAACCTAATTGAAAAATGAAAAATACAGTTGAGCAAAAAAATACAGTAACTGAATGGAAGAGAAATTTAATATATTTGACTGATAGAAGTCTTTTCAATGCCACCATTTTTAATTGCTGTAGAAGATATGATATGGAGGAGTTCATAAGGAAAACTGTCATATTCATTTAATAATCAGGTTACTAATTCATTTGCTGTTATAAACAGCAAAATCATCTTTTACCCAGTGAATTTAGGTAATTATTTTTCATTGTCTCTAACGCAGAATACTAAAATATGAGAAACATAGGATCAACACAAATCTTGTCTTAAATATATCCAAACCCATGTTGAAAGGTTATGTTAAAAAGACTAAGTAAATGCTTCAAAGATTGGTGGTATTGAAACAGTAAAATCTTTAAAAATAAGATCAAGGAAGCAGTTTTCTTCTTTCATTAGTAAAATTAATCTGAAGTCTGTGCTCTAAATCCTAGAAGAACTAAATAAAATGTATTGGGGGTGGGGTATTGACAACTGGGGACAATGACTAAATCAATCCGTAAGAACAGTCTTAGGAGTTCAGGAAAATACCCACATATCCACCATGGGTCTTTCTGTATCCCATAATAGCTTTTTTTTTTTTTGTAATGAATCAGGCCTCTAACTGTGCTTGGATCATTAGTTGAGGAGAGTCAAACTACAGTGGAATTATGGTTACTAAATGCTGAGGTTTCTTAACCAGCAGTATAGTCACTGTCCCTCTGTACAATACATCAGTCAGAAATGTATATGGATTTTGCCCCTGAGAGAATTTCAAGCCTTCCCTGTCATATCCACTTAACTTTGAATTTTTAAAATGCAATTTCATAAAAATACAATATAACTACAACCAAACTGTTTTTAATGTATCTTATAGGATAAGTAACTATTTTTTAAAAATCTGTGCTCACTAGTTTTATTTATCATTGAAGAAGAAAGCTGAGATACAAGCGTCAAATCCTCGACTTGTATTAATTCTGGGGAAAGTGGTGATTTAGGGGGTTTTATACACCCAGAAGAATCTCCAGATTCATGTTTGCATTTCTTGCTGCGAGCCTTCCCTGAAGACAAAGTTGAGGATAACAGTGCAGGTTTCTGAGTGTTGGCAGAACTGCTAATGTCAGCTTCATTTTTTTTCTGACTTTGAGGTTTAGGTGAAATCGCCTGAATAAATAATAAAAAATTGATATTTTTATTTTGGTTTCTTCATTTTTGTTCTTGTTTTCTATTTTTGATTGTTAAGCAACTTTAGTATCCAAAAACATTGTTAAGCAACATATAACATTTCTATTACAAATGAAAAACCAAAAAGAACCCCACAAATTATTAACTAAAAGTTGAATAGGCTGTCTTTAAAGGGATGCTGTCTAAACTGGGGTTTTTTTTTAAATGTATTATTTATAATATTCTCAGAATATAAAATGTTACCTTACTGGACAAATATGTTTGGTGTTAAGTTAAAACATGCCTCTTTGGAAATCATAATTACCAATGACAATAATAATTAGGTAAATAAACAAATTTCTGTTTTAGAGCGTTAAAGGAATACATGTAAGCTTCTGATTTTCAGATTTAAAAAAAAAAAAGTCTTTGAGTTCATCGCAGAGGTTTAAGTAGACAATTTCCCTTTAAAGAAAGATCTCAACAGGAAAACAATGACCAAATTAACGAAACATTATCTTTAACTCATTTTAGTGCTGAAAGCTAGAGTTTCATAAGCATAATGCATCATGAAATCGAAGCCACCAGCAATACAGAGTTAAAAGACTAAAAAACAATACAAAACAAGCAACAACAGAAAAAAAAAAAACAAGGAGTAAAACCAAGTGTAAGTTAAAAACATTGGATTTAAAAACAAAATACGTCGCATTCTTAGATGAGAATTTTTACCTTCTTCCTGCCAACTGATACTTTTAAAAAAAAATTAGAACTTTGTCAGTTCTTTCATAAAGAATACCTTAATTCATTTGGCAGTAAAATGTCCTACATTTGTAAAATTACACGTGAATGTGTCCAAAGACTACAGAGAACAGCCACATTGAATGGACTTGCACTCTACAGTGTTGGAATGCCTATACTGTATCTCTTTTTGACATATGTATCTGAGAGCAAAGTATGAGATACACTTAAAAAAAAAAACCTATACTAAGATAGGCCTCTGTATAGAATCAAACTGTTAGCTCTATGAACAACATGCTGGTCCCCAAGAAAACTTTTTTACTTCCCTATCTTTTGTGAGGGATGACCAACAGGTCTGAAGGCTGCAGTTCTCTGGAATATGAAAGGTCACTGTCTGAGGACCAAATAGGTTTCTGTTCCCTGAAAATCCAAGGCGTTCATTTTTGGTAGAAAAACAGTGAATATCTGGTATTAAGCAGGGCACATTTGACTGTGCTACAGATGGCATGTTGGACATACCACATTAAAGGGTGGGTGTCAAGCGTCTCATTTACTCAACTGTCATCATTTCTATTCTTGAATTTACTCATTACACACGTGTATAAGTGCAGATTCATCACTTGAAAAAAAAAAAACTCCATATATAGAAAGGATTCCTAAGCTTATCATAAAGTGTTGCCAGAAAAGTAATTAGAGCCATTACTTGTAAATAAACAATTTTATTGTTCATCTTCACATATGTGAGACATCACTACAGCATCCAGTACTCTCAAGTTACAAAGTTATAAAACAAGATTTTAATACTTAAATTAATATCTTGATAAGGTGCTTAACTTCTAAACAAGGACAAATTAACATTCTTTAAAATTTACTGAATTATGCATCTAATGCAGGTTTTATCCAAAAGTAAAATATAACATAACAATTCCCTAATACAATTAAGTAATCTATAATTAATAATCTGAGAACTGGGGTTCAAGACCACAGAGTTTGAACTTTCTTAAAGTAAATAAATAAATTCCTTAGCACAGTTAAGTTTTGGCCTTAGGCCTGTTATAAATCTACGTCATGAGTGAAATTATTTTACTCATTAGGGCAACATAGGTTAGTGACAATACCTCTTCTTCAAGTCATACCAACTGAGATGTAATTAAGAATTTTATAACTCGGCTTTTTAACTCTGAAGCAGGGCAAACAGTGTAAGAATTAAGAGTTTGGTTACAAAACAGTTCACATAGAAATCAACCTGAATGACAAAAAAGGGGGCAACAGTATTATTATGTTCCTTAAAGATCTAAAATAATTTACAAAATTTTCATTATTAATCACTGGTCTCTTTGTTACAAAACTGGCAAGGACTCTCAAAATTTTCTTAATTAATGTGAATAAAAACAGCCGAGTTACTCAATTTTTCTCCTTTTTAAGCTCAGTTTCAAAAGGTTGTTTTCTATACTTGTCTCTGAAAAGGGCACTGCCCTCTACACTAACTTCCACACATAATAAATAATTTTCACAATCACATTCATCTCAGTAGGATTGTGCATAATGAAAGATTGACATTGTAATGAATTTTCCAGAAACATTTTATTACCCAAGTCCCTGACTTATTGCATTCTGAGAATACCATAAACAGTGGTGAAAATACAAAATATTGTTATATCTGGGACGTTGAATATAATAATACACAGTAAAAAAAGTCATTTAAAATTTGGTTGATATACTGACAATAACGGCAGACTTAACCGTTTGATGACCACAGAAAATCAAAGGCATGATTCACTGACATATTAATCAATTTAAAAGATCATTGATTTAATACAACATTAATGGAGGCACCAAAACAATGCACTATTATCAAATCAGGCTTAAAATAACCCTGAAAAACTCAATACAATATCAATTAAATTTGGACTGTTTTTTAAAACGCATATAGAGAAGAGCAAAAGGTATTCATTTTAAAGTCTTCCTTATTAGGCTACTAATAAAGAAAATTAAAATAATACAAAAAGGATATAGTAAAACTACATTAAGGCTCAGATTTTAAAACAGGAGAACCAAGGAAATCCAGTTATGGCTATTACTGTGTTCTTATAGTCTTTACAGTGCCCAAAAAGGTAAGCCCTTAGAGAATGGAAAAGCATGCACAGTCCATTATATACAGGTATTGTGGGAATCTGAAGGTAGCCAAGGCAAAATCTAGCAACTGCAACCTTCATTTTCAAATTCCTCTATTAGGTGGTTTAAAGACAGACCCTTAATAGCTTTTTAAATTTTTTTTGTAGTTATTAAAATATACATCCTAGCAAAAATGTATGGCTCATTGATCAATTCATAAAACACATAGTCAGTCTAACAACACCAATTGTTACAATATAAAAGAAACTTCTTACAAAAGAAGCTTTATAAGATGTCAAAAAACCCTGTTTTAACTCACAAATGAAAAGTATTTGTGTAAGGGTCTTTTAGTAAGCTAGTCAAAGGTGATCCAGCTGGAAGCCTGTATCCAGCTGGGAGGCCCTTCTCCTGGCTTTCCACCATTGGGAGACAAAGGCTTTAACGCCAGCCTACTGAAAATAAACACTAATTAAGTCTGTAGTTTATCTGCATACCTTGGAGAAGGCAGAGTTAAAAATGTATCACCCATTATTTTCCTGTCCCCATATCTGATCAAAAGGGTGATTTCAATTATGTGGATACTACAGCTCCGTGATAATTCCAGCGGGGAACCTTGAAAACAATCAAATGCTACCATTTCATACCTGCTCCAGCATTGGAGCCGTTTCATTGTAGTCTTCCTTTTTTTCAGCACCATCCACCCCAACAGCTTTGGATGCCAACAAACCTTGAGAAAAATCGTACAGAAATTGCTTATTAGAAAAGATATTGGCTTTCACACTAATTCTCCAAAACTTTAGCAGCTGAATCCCCTATACTTTTCTTACAGGAAGTATACTCTCAGACGGTTACTTGTCAAATATACAAACATTCTTAATAACAACTCAAAGGGCTAAATTAAAACTTGAGAGTAGCTAACGTTAACAGCCTTCAAAATAAAAAAAAATTACCTTAAAATATCCTTTAAAAACAAAAATCACACACATACACATTTATTCTGTACAAATTTAAATTTCTATGGATTAATGTCTAAAAACTTAAGACTGCTTAGATCATTAATACCTTAGGCTTTGTCCATACAACTGAAATAAGATATGGAATTAATATGAAGATATAAGAAATCCTTTCAAACATCTAGAATATAAAATGATTGTTGTTATATTATTAGCTAAAAAAATACTCCCAATTTTTTAATTTCACTTGGATTCTTTAACCTAAGCTTCACAAGTGTGTTTCTATACCCAGTTGTAGCCAATCATTTACAAAAGTGGTGAGAACATGGAGGGATTCCTTTTATGTTAATGGAAAAGAGTATAGATACTTCCTACATTTGGACTTCATATGATAGCCTCATTATACAATTGATGAAATAAACTGGGAGTTCCAGTTTTTTCCCATGTACACCTTTAATTTTCAATTTTAGAAGACAGAATATTTTATCCAGAGTATAGTTAACTTTAAGAGACATTAAAACTCAGCTTTAATTTAGAAATTAAAGGCATTAACTCAGTCAAGAGTCTTTGCTAAGCACCAGATAGGTGCCCTCAATGGAGGCAAAGGTATTAACATAACCCTTGTACACGTTTATTTCTTCTTATGGCCACCACACACGTAAAAGGTCACCCAAAACCATTTCTGTGTCACTTCAAAAGTCAGGCACACAAAACTCTGGCTTCAAAGGAAGTATATTTAACAATCAACAACTTAATAGTAAATTTACTTCAGCAATTATACCACTTGTAGTATTAAAGCTATCTACAGCATTTTTAACAGGAGAAAAAAGGGGCCCCAAAATGCCACATAACTTTGAGTTATCCCTGTGCCAACGCCCCTTGACTCTTTCAGGTAACAATCTCTAAGATGTTAAGTATTTCAAATATTAAAATTGCATTCTCAAGGTAATACTAGAATCAAGTGTTCAATCAGGCAAAAATCACCTTTCTACTGTTAGATAATGAAGCTGAATATCTAGCACTCAGAATTGTAATTCAAAATAGGAAACACTGAGTATAAAACAATTATTTTGATATAGCAATGACTGGTATTAAAACTGCTATTGGTGCACTTTGACATAATCCATATTGTTCAAGTCCCATACAATTTTAAGTGTATATTCAAATGAAGGACTCAATGTATAAGTAATTTCATAAAAATAGCTTATATATCATAAATTCAATTCTAGCTGTAGTAAAGTAACTTCTGAACACATTTTTAGATGACTAAAAAAGATATAAGCAGAGAATTTATTTAACAAAACTGCATTCACTAGGTATTTCTTCTCTAGCTAAAATGCTACTGAAAGTAAAACAAAAAATAATTAGGAAAATTAGCTTCTTCTTTTGTAGGAACATGAGTAGAGGCCCTACTTCTATGGGTATTCAAAGAGAACAAATATTTGTTATTCAATCTACTGACTATGCTTTTTTTTGTTTCCCTTTATAAAGGTGGTGGAAATAATTTCAAATCACATAATAGATAAAATAGATCACAAACTAAAATTAAAACTAAAGTACTAGAAGTTTAAAAGAAACAAAATAATTTAGTCATACTAAGTGAATTTACATTTGGATATTACAGACCCAAATAATTAAAAGCAATTCTCACTTAATGGTTTATGAAAGTAAAATAAAGCTTTGTAATGTTCTTATAAAAGCAATGGGGCATTTAATAAAAACTTTAAATTAGGTTAGAAGATGTAATACTTGGTAGCCAGTTAATTGAAAGCTTCATAGATGATCAATAAAAAGGTTTTCATACTTTACATGCAAACCATCTTATACAAGAGTTATCAAATATAAACAAGGGACAAGAAACTTTTAAATGCCCTTGAGGAGGACGCTGAATACTGCTGCCTTAAGAAGCAGTCTAAAATCTATCACCATGACCAACTAACATTCTGGGGAGAAATGCAATAACCTTCCAAAGTGACAAGAATTGGAGGGAAATAAAAAACAGAATTGATTTTTAGTTATTTCCAAATATGTATTAATTATCAATATATTACTAAGTCGTCATCCAAATAAGATACCTATAGAGTAAATACCTTAACAGAATGCATTATACAGTTTCAAGAAATTATTTATTATCAGGTAGAAGTAGAATACAGATTTTTATGAGTCCCATCTACAAAAAGTGATACTTTCTCAATATTCTACTTCAGCTATAAAACATAGAGTTGGTCTCTCACTGCCAATAGGAACAAACAGAACAGAGGCCAAAATATCTTAGAATGATAACGGGGAGGAAAGAAAGAACAAAGCAGTTAAATTCATGCTCTGCTTTTTGGTCAGGGATTCCAAAATACAATGTTCTTGTTGAGATTAAGAACCAAACATCCTGAATATTCTTATCAATAACATTACTGGCCAATTCAAGCCTCTGGATTTTAAAATTATTTTTTACATTCCTTAAGCTGTACAAATGTATCTAAACTGGCTTGACGTCCAGAAACTCCTAGAACTATTACACACATGCCACGCACCAACTGCTAATATTTCTTCTTTTACTCTCTACCAATATGTATTTTAAAATCTACTCAAATTGCTTGCAGTTCTCTTGCAACTCTGTCCCAAAGTATAAACTCCTGAATATCTCTGTAAAATTGTTTTTTCTAAATCAGCATGCACAAAGTATATAATTATCAATAAGTTTATGACATAATGAAAACTAAGATTCTGGAAGAATATATACACTCTGCAACAATAATTTCCACGTCTACTTATTCAAAATTTTTGAAGCCATCCTATACCATTCCCTATATAGAAATCAGATTTGGAATCTCTGTAGGGTGTATATATGGTTAAAAAACAGAAAGAGAGTGAATAAATACATGAACTAAACTTATCCGGAAGCTGGTTCACTTATTTCCTGTAAGAACTACTTAAAAAATAAATTAAAAAGTGTGGTAGAGAAACACTCAGAGCAGGCTGAGATGCTGCCGTGTTACCAGGCTATTCCTCTCAGCAGTAAAGGGACAAAAAGGCACATATAAGTGAGCCTGATAAATTTAAAATATACCATTATTCCAAAACAAAACTGCTACTTCCTATTAGTTCTCATCTCTTTTTTATGGTCTACAAACAAAATTTACTGTACAGAGGCAAGTCTGCGTCTCAACCATCAGAAACAATCTTAAAACATCTATTATCTTTTTGCATGATTCAGTTGTAACATGAAATCAGAAACAGACTCAGAGATGAAAAACTACTAAAAAATTAACATGTAACTTGAGTAAATAAAGGGAAAAGATCAGAACAGTTTCACACTTGTAAAACGTATGCCTTTCTACTGCTGCCAGAACTATTACTTATTGATTTAAGATTCCCAAGAAGCAGTAAAGAAAAAGTTCCACCACTACTATTTTTTCAAGGCCATCAGAGATACTGCATCACTGTGAATTAAGCTGCTTTCTTACTTTACTTCTTTAAATAGTGAGCTTGAATTTCTCAGTGAGACACATGTTAAGTGTATACTGACTGACTACAAGTACCCAGATTTCAGGGGAAAACATGATGCTGGTAAGCTGGCAGATGCACCACCAGTGTCACTTCCATCTTCCTTGATCTTGGCTCTCCCAATAAGACGTTTCAACCTGGGTGTCACAGCAGTGAGAAGTACTATCCCACAGAAGAGAGCTCTGGATCCCATTATTCTAAGACAAAATTGAGGTCTCAAGCTGCCAGCATAAAAATCACTAAGATAACATTCATTGGCTTTCTCCAACATTAATAGTTTCTAAGGAAAAGGTGGAATGGGAATGAGTAGATTGATTTGAAATATTTCCTGTCCTGGGGCCAAATATATCCTTTATCAGAGAAAGGCACAAAAATGATATTAACAAATGGAAAGACTAAATAGACTAAATACTCTCACCTGTTGAAACCAATTATAATTACTTAGATGAGTGGGCTTACACTCTTTAGATAATGGTCAAAATGTTTAATTTACATTTATTCCTGGATCTGATGATGAAACCAACTTTTTCAAATTATTTAAAAGAATGTCAACAAAGATTTACATAGCTTTATTATGCCAAAGGCACTAAAATCATTATCCTTAAAATTAAGAGCATGTGACTGATTATTAATTAAAATATTTTAGCACCTCCTTTATAATATATGTGCTTCCCTGGTGCCTCTGGCAGTAAAGAATCTGCCTACAGTGTGGGAGACCCCAGTTTGACCCCTGGATTGGGAAGATCTCCTGGAGAAGGGAATGGCTATCCACTCCAGTATTCTTGTCTGGAGGATTTCATGGACAGATGAGCCTGGCGAGCTACAGTCCATGGGGTCACAAAGAATCGGACACGACTGAGCCACTACACTTTATAATACACACACAAAATATTAAATATATTAACAATCTCTTTTAAAGATTAGAATCATTAGGCCTTGGAAGTGTGGGACTTAAATATGACTGGTCCCTTCATCTGTGAACACTAACAAGGCTGGAATTTCCTGTGTTTTTCATCATTCTACTTCCTAAACTACAACACAACAGAGATAAATAAGCCCAAATTCTAGAGAACAACATGAAGGTCAGGATAGAAATTTTTAAAAGTTACAGAAGTATTTTTATATTGAGAATTAACAGATTCAGGAGCTGAATTTAAGTCAGTACTCATCTTTCCAACTATCCCTAATGAGACCAGTCAAGAGTAACAATGTTTGTATAATATTTAGAACCTTGGACATTATGTCTCCACAAGTTGACAAAAGCAGATGATTCAGTTTTTAGAGAACTACTCCTGCCACCAAAGTGATTTTACAACTACGGAATTTTGCAACATATGACCCATGCATCCTCACAACATCCTGTGAGGTAGGCAGAAGACAGGTGATACTGTTCACATTTCACAACAGAAAATACCCATGATGTCTCAAGGGTGATGACCTTAAAGAAACAAAGCAACTGTTTTTCTCATTAATCAGCTACACTAAACCAAAAGATGTATTTTCCTTTATTAAAAACAAACTACTGTAAAATCAAACCCTCCATTCCCCCCACAAAAAGAATCATTGTAGTTTACCAGTAATCTTGTTAAGCCGAGCTCTCTTTGCCTGAAATGAGTTGCCTTGATTATTTTTCCTCTTGTTTGTTAATGTGCTCTCTGGCTGTGGAAAGACCATCTTTGGAACGTTCTCTACATGAAGTCCTACTTTTAATAAAATACATATATGAGAGTTTATCTAGAATCCAAAGTTAAAACACATGAATTATTTTAAGTAGCAAAACACTAAGATAGGCTTTGCACTTAAGTTTTTTAATCTAGTACTTAGACACAGAACTTTAAAAGACACAAATTTCTCCCAACAAATGTATTAGGAAAAAAAGAAAAGTACTAAAAGCAGTTGTGCTTCAGGAATGACTTACAGCTTTTTCTGTATTATATATTGAAATACATGCAAAAGCATTTTAAAAGTTAAAGAAAACAAAACAAACAAAAAAATCCCACACAAAAGGAGTCTCAATACCCACTACCAAGAAATTACAAATCAAAATCACAACTCGATTTCTATTCAAGAATACTGAGGGTATCCATTATCAAGTACCCGTATTAGACCATTAATCTTCAGAGCTGTTAAAAAAGTTAACCATCATTATTATGCTAGGGAAAAAAGCCTAGTAATTCAACTGTATGTTCAAACTACAGGTAGCCAAAAGATCTGACTATTCACTATGTGAGTTTACCACTGCCATGGGGAGTGAACATAAAAACATATTTTGTACCAAAAGTTTCACTAGATGTAGGCAGATCTTCCTTCTTCTCAACTTCTGGTGTGGTTATAGAAGTTGAAGTTTCTTCCTTTTTTGAAGGTACTTTAAACCATTTTCTCTCATCTTTCTCTTTATCTTTATTGCTGTTAGCGCTGGTTCGAGGTTTGTTCCCTGTTTTATTCTTGGCTGCAGCTGCAGCAGCTGCTTTGACTAAAGCTATCCAATCCTCCAAAGGAAAAACACAAAACATGTGAAGCATTAAAAACTTAATTAAAATTACACTAATGAATAAAAACATGTATCACATTTTCAAAGCTACTTTCACAGGCACACAAATATGAAAATCAGATTAACTATATTCACAAGGTAGATCATCAATGTGTTAGATTATCAAATTTAATAATCTAATCAGTTATATGACCTCAAATAAAATGGGAAAATATTCAATTTTATATTGATATTCAATAACAAATATCTTTTGACGGAATAAAATTTAAAATATAAGAAAACCTATGACAAATGTGGAATATCTCATGACACTCTACCTTAACTTAGTATTTTAGGGTTTAAATGCCGAATTATGTTTCTTTTCTATGATGCAATGTATTACAAAAATAATATGAAAAAAATGCTTATGTTTCAATTCTGCAAATATTAAAAGAAATGTACAGTCAGCCAGCACTATCTTTGGGTTCTGCATCCAGGGATTCAACCAACTGCAGAACAAAAATACTTGGGGGAAAAAAATTTCCGAAGTTCCAAAGTGAAGAACTTGAATTTGCCATGCTCCAGCCGCTATTTACATAGTTTTTATATTGTGGTAGGTGCTGTAAGTAACCCAGAGATGATTTGGGAGGATGTGAGTAGGTTATATGCAATACGATGCCATTTTATATAAGAGACTTGAGCATCTACAGATTTTGGTATCCATGTTGGTCCTGGAAACAATTCCCTGCAGATAATGAGAAATGACTGTGTTCCCGCAGAGCAAATGACTCCCCTTCATTAGGAAGAATGTATCACTCAAAGTAAGGTCAATTTCACAAAGGTCAAAGTATGATTTTATTATTTTTCAAAGTTTTTAAAGTTTGCATAATGATTAATCACAAGAGCTTATCGTATTACCAGTAAAAAGAAAAAAAGCTACTTGACTTGACCAAGGTAAAGTACACACTGTCAGGCTCTAGTTTAATTTCCCTCCCTCTACAACTTTCTGAATCTATATCAGCTGCCATTCTTCTGAGACGCAAATATTTATTTATATTCCTGTGTTTATTTTTTTTTAGTTTGTGACTAAATAATTTCTACTCTTTTACTTTGAACTAAAAACACTTAGTCCAAGCAACTAAAAACAATTTCACAACATTAACTGTATTTTAATTCATGGGTTGTATTAACAAACGCAGGCCATTAAGCAAATCAAGTTGATGGCTGTTCAGTATAAAAAATATACGGTAAAGATAATAAGCCATTAAAGGGAAACAAACAAAATAAAAGCTTCTCTCTACCCCATGACTGAAATGAACTGAAAACATCATGCGATTGCACCTATCACATTCCCACTGACCAATTTCCTACTGAATACCCTACTGATGTGCCAGGAAACATGCTAAGTTGATAGAAGATGCTAGCTGAAAACCTCAGGAACCCACTGGCCTGGAGTGACCACTTTTTGCTCCTGCCTGGAAGACACTCAGTATGTAACTTCCCCACATTTTAAACAATGTCCCCAAAGCATGTCTTATTAGAAAGTGAATTATGACAACGTTGTGAAATAAAATTTTATATCTCTAGTTTGTAAAAACAAACTACCAAAGAAAACCAGATACACCAGTACTACGACCCCAAGTTTTACTCAGCACCACCTCTTTAGTCCTTCCCATAAGGAATTGACAGGCAGATAAAATTAACTATAAGACAATGTAACAGAACAGATAGTAGAGAATAAACAAAATACTATGGGAGAACAACAAAATTTTGCCTGAACAGAAAGACTAGTGGAAGGCTTCAGGGGAAATGATAAATGATTTGAACCCTGAAAGAGGAATCTGCTGGGGAAAAAGGCAAAGAAAGAAAAATGGACACTCCAAGCAAAAGGAAAACCATTAAACAAAGGTGTGGCAAAGTGTATACTAATAGAAAAGAGGGGTTTAAGGTCAAGGAGCAATCTGGGTGACTTAAGTATTATGGCTAAGTTGAGCCTTCAGACTAACATTAAGTAGAAGGAAAAAAACACCACCAACGCAAATGACTTATAGAGCTCCATCAACAAAGCAGAAAGAAAAAACAAGATTACATACAACAGACAAGCAAAGGAAAGTGCTAAATTCAGTCTTACTAAGAACAGGGCATTTAATTCTAGGTTTTGCATTGTAGGGACAACTTTAAGTTATTAAGAGAAATGCCAAAAGATGCTAAGGGTAAAAATTCCATGCCCAAATGTTTTCTCTCTCCAATAAAAAGAAAAATAGAAGAGATTAACGTTGTACTCTTCAAAAGCGAAATCAGATAAAACAGTTCTTTATCATATGACGTGTTAATCATGAGGATCACTGTAGTTGTGATTAAAGAGTTCTTCAATTATTTCATGCTTCCATTTTTTAACTGGAAAGATTCAACATCAAAAATAACTGATGTGCTCCTTCCATGAATGAGAACTAAAGATGAGAACACAGACACTTCACTAGAATGAACACTGTCTGAAATCAGGTAGGAGTTCAGAGCTACTCTCCACACTATGGTTGAGTGAAATTTTAGGTAAGTCATTGAATTCTTTAAGTTCTGAATTTCTCAACAGTGAAACAGAAATATCAGCTATACCTATGTCAAATGATTTGCTATGAGAATCCAATAAAGCAATGTATTAAAAAAAAAGTTCTGAAAATAGTAAAGGACCTTATGAACATGCTAAGTTGCTCAGTCATGTTTGACTCTTTGTGACCCCATGGACTGTAGCCCACCAGGCTCCTTTGTCCATGGGATTCTCCAGGCAAGAATACGGCAGTGGTTGCCTTTCCTTCTCCAGGGGATCTTCCTGACCCAGGTATCAACCCACATCTCTTACGTCTCCTACATTGCAGGTGGGTTCTTTACTACTAGTGCCACCTGGCCAGTCTCTAACACTAGTGAGTTACAGTGTAAATTTTATATCAGCACACCCTCAAAAAGAAAAAGAATAGGTAAGAAAGAGCTACAGAAATTTAAGAGAAAAACATTCCCATAGTGCGTTTATTTGATTCCTTATCCTTTGCTGGTTTAGCAAAAGAAATTTTACTGTATATCTTTACAAAGAAATTCTCAAAGGACTCAAAATTTAGAACATAGTATGCAAAGTTGGATTCTCTTACTACTGTCCAAACAACACCTGATATATTATATGACCTAGGTGAAAACAAATCAAAAACTTGTTGGGGAAAATGATACCCAAAATATAAGAATATTCTATAAAAAACAGTTCTATACATGTCTTTAATGTGCTTATAATTAAAAACTATGAAAAAAAAATTAAAAGAAATATACTAATATTTTCTTTTAGGAGTTTGTATTTTGATATTGATTTTAATGTTACCACACATCATGATGTGACCAGAATACTCATTAAAAATAAACATCCACTATGTCCAAAAAATTAGTTTTTATAACTTATTTTTACCACAAACCAAACTGGTTCAGTGTAACTTCAGAAAAAAGAGTTTTAAAGTTAGTGCCATCACATAAATACTTGAATGAACAAAATAACACTTTTAAAGCAAAAAAAAAAAATTGAGAATTTTAAAAAGTATATATTAAACTAAATTGCCAATGTCTCAATCAATTTTTCTGTGTAGTAACCAAGGAATCACACCATTGAATGCTTGAGAATATTTTATTTATATATACAAGTAGAAACACACAAAGCAATTTCCTGATCAAAAGTACTTCCATTTTAAATTTAATTTCCATATTAATTGAATAAAAAACTCTGCTAATTGATTTCAAAACTAAATTTTTGAAAACCACGTAATTTAAAACACTCCAACTTCTCAGAAAACAAAAATAATGTTTCAACTGTGGTAATCTACATCCCAAATATAGCAACAGGTAGTCTGCTAAATGTATACACTTGACTGGAACTGACCATGTGATTTCAACACAGTTCAGGATGACATTTTTCACATGATATGCAACAAATATGTAGCATATTTCCATATTAGACATTTTTACAGATCACTTTCAATTTCTTAAAATTAATTGTAGGTCCAGGTGCTGAAAATCCCAAATAACAGCAGAACATAAAAGAAAACATTTTAAATTTCTATTGGCACCTTTTCTTTCCAGTATTTCAGGAAACATATTCAATCAATAGAATTATGGTTTTAACTTCATCCCAGATTCCCTTTCAAATGCTTACCGTTCATTCTTGCTTTGAGCAGTGACAGAGCATGTAATGCACTGCTTACATCATATAACTCAGAAAGCCCTACCTGAAACAGCCTACAGAGTGTCAGGTAAGCGCCTTTTGAAGGAAAATTAATGACTGTGATTTACAGAAGAAAAGAAGAAGATAAGAGACTCAATATAAAATTTTATATTAAAAATTAACTTTCTTAAATGATAACCATATACCAGGAAAAACGAAACAGAATTAACAAAAAAGGCACTCACCTCACTTCCCATAGACTGGTTACACGATCCAGCTGGGTCGATAGGACAACACCAGCTTAGTGGATGCTGGGCTTTCACCTGGAACAGAAACTAGTGACCTGTAACTTGGGCAGGTCTAAAACCAAAGAGGCAAAAATCAAGTGTATAACTGATTTTACATTCTAAGCTTCTCTTTCTTGCTGCTATTTGGGGCTATCAGCACATAATCCTACAATTAGTCCACTTTAAAATATATATATATATGGAAGTATATATATATTTTATTAATCACCATTCAAGAAGACATCCATTTGGGAAGCTAGGAATGCTAAACACTCTTACCTGCCCCTTAGCATCCTCGGGCATGGCTTTAATGTGCATTCGTTTTAAACAACGAATTACTCCATCATAAAATTGAACTGTGAACGTTCCTGAAATAGGAGTGAGTCAGGATCATTAGGAAATATAATTCAGTCTTACAGCAACACCTGACATCAAACAAGTAATGCCCTGACACATATGAACACCCTGTGATTGCAGCACCTGCAAACACACACAAGTGTACGAGGTTTACGGTCTCTTTCTGTGAAAATAACGCCTGATTTCCCTTAAGGAATACACAAACTCCATCTTGATAAGTCAGCTGCATATAATTCTGATTTTTACTGGAGGATTTTAAAAAACAAATATATGTTTAAATACCATATCAGTTATAATATACCTGAAGAAAATAAAATTATTATTTACAAAAGTGAATAATATTTCTAAGAATCATCATTTGCTGTCTTTGAAAGTTTCTTTCTAAATAACAGAAAAATCTGGGAGAAAAATCTCAGGAAAGGATTATTCCTTTTCTCAGGGAAGGATTATTTCTTTGCAATATTAGTTAACTGGCAAACAAGAATTACAGATTCCCTGGCTTTTAAGCTACACACCATTTTACATCATCACTGGCATGACAGTCTTCCTGTGCAGATAAGAACACTGACCTCCAGTGAAATGAAATGCTGCATGCAGTGACAAATTATCAGCAGCACAGCCATTCCCTAAAACCCCTGATTCCCATGTCTTTCCCACTAAACCATCCTGCTGTTAGGATTCATGATCCTATTTACATGACTATTTCAAAGGACACTCACTTTTCGTTACAGACTCCATGTTTTCATGCTTGTCAGTACTATCAGAAAACATATAAATTATACAGATTCTATATTTATGGAAATCCCAATGTTGTTCTATCATTTCCTGTACCAAACCAATGTGGGCTGAGTGACACTTAATGTAAACAGTTATCTGACCTTTACAAAAGAGGTATAAACAATTGGCACCAAAGCCAATAAATCAATGTACAAAGATTTTCATTTCTTTGTAATTTGAATAACACCAACTGATTTCATCTTTCTATAATTAGCATTACATACAAATCATGGACATAAAGAATTAAACCCAAATTATGAAAGAAACTGAGCAGCTGAAGAGCAAGAATGTGAAGATTCGAGAAGACTGTGAGACTGAGAAACCACTTGCGTCCTTACGCTAGCCACCATCCGTGCCCCTCCCTCCTCCTTCCTCATGCGGCACTGCAGATGAGGGCAAACTCTGCGCCACGCTGACCACACACTCACCCCCTGCCTCTGAGGACAGTCTCCCTGCTGTGACGCCTTTTCCCTTCCCAACTCCAACCCACTCTTCAAGGATCAGCTCTTTAAATCCCACCCATTGTATGAAAACCTCACTCATCACTCCAGGCTAAAGTGACTCGCCCCTTCTCTTCAACTCCTCCAAGACATATTGCTACTGCTGCTGCTGCTAAGTCCCTTCAGTCATGTCCGACTCTGTGTGACCCCATAGACGGCAGCCCACCAGGCTCCCCCGTCCCTGGGATTCTCCAGGCAAGAACACTGGAGTGGGTTGCCACTGCTTTCTCCAATGCATGAAAGTGAAAAGTGAAAGGGAAGTCACTCAGTTGTGTCCAACTCTTAGCGACCCCGTGGACTGCAGCCCACCAGGCTCCTCCGTCCATGGGATTTTCCAGGCAAGAGTACTGGAGTGGGGTGCCATTACCTTCTCTGCCAAGACATATTATGTATACCTAAATGTCCACATATGTTAGTTTTATTTAGCTTTTGCAGTGAACAGAAAGTGCTCTGAGAGCTTCCTTTTTTAACGGGGGAGAGGGAGGATGGTGGTAGGAGACAAAGTGAGGCTCATTCACCTTGTGGGACACACAGAAAAACCACCAAATTAATACCTCCCACAGAAAATGTTTAAAAAACAAGTTGTATCTGCCAATATTTCACGAAGAGATTCCTCAAACTGCTCTTGAAATGGCAGAGGTTGCAGTGAGTAACATCATTCTTCCACTGATGTAAGCTTAAATTTCTGTATTACATGCCCATGGACAAATGGGATATGATAAAAAATGAGGGTGGCTTGATTCTGAGTATGTGCTTTGTAAAAGAAGCTTCACACTTGAAAGAAAGGTCTCAAAGCTCTGCACATTTAAAGAAATTTCTCATAATGAAAACAGAGAGCACTGTTAAATTTTGTTCTGTTTTGGGTTGTTATTATTCAGGCGCTAAGATCAAGTCTGACTCTTTGCAACCCCGTGGACTGCAGCATGCCAGGCTTCCCAGTCCTTCATGATCTCCCAGTGCTTACTCAAGCTCATGTCCATTGAGTAGGTGATGCAATCCAACCATTTCATCCTCTGTTGCCCCCTTCTCCTTATGCTCTCAATCCTTCCCAGCAACAGGGTCTTATCCATTGAGTCAGTTCTTCCCATCAGGTGGCCAAAAAATTGCAGCTTTAGCTTCAGCATCCATCCTTCTAATGAACATTCAGGGTTGATTTCCTTTAGGACTGACTGGTTTCATCTCCTTGCTGTCCAAGCGACTCTCAAGAGTCTTCTCCAGCACCACAATTTGAAAGCATCAATTCTTCAGCACTCAGCTTTCTTTACAGTCGAACTCTTACATCCATACATGACTACTGGAAAACCATAGCTTTGTCTAGATGGACCTTTTGTTGGCAAAACGATGTCTCCACTTTTTAATAGTCTGTCTAGGGTCTGTCATAGCTTTTCTTCCAAGGAGCAAGTCATAGTCATAGTTTTTCTTCTGTTTTGGGAAGATCTTATTATCTAACGAAATGGACTCATTACTTCTTTTCCTTTCAAAAATTGTTACTGACTCCCTAACTCTGTGCTAGTCTCTGAACTAGACGCCTGAGGAGCCAATATAAGACATGGGAACATGAGCTCTGAAATATAGCTTTCCAGAAGTTTAAGTAAACGATGATTTAAAGGCCCCACTAGGAAAGAAGTAACCTGAAAACTTAACTGAGATGTTCCTCAGGTGACTAGTAATAAGCTCATAGCCATATTTGTTATTTCAATTAACTAAACCAAGAAATTAGACTAAGGCTTTTGTAAAGTTACATCATCAATTCTAACCAGACAACTGTAACTTACTTTTTCACACTTAACATTTTTTACTGTATTTCTTTTTAAATGTTTTCTTCTTCTATTTTCTCTTACCTCTTAATTTTTCTCAAGTTTTTTTGTTAAATTTTCAGCTTAAATCCTTAGCTAAATTCTTTAGCAAGACTACAAGACACTTCATATACCAATTCTTCTTTCCTCCACTTCTTCTGTTATTCTACAAACCTGAAAGGAATCCTTCACTCCAGTCACATCAAAGACTTCCAGTTCCTTAAAAATGGCATGTCTCTCTTCTATTCTTTTGCAAACACCATTTCTTCTGCCAGAAAACCTCTTCAACCCTCCTTTTCTAACTAATTTGTTTGGCTTTCAAGATACAACATAAAGTAAGTATCCCTTTACTTAAGTTAAATGCTCTTCTTGCAAAAAACACATCAATGTGGGGGTTTTTTTGTTTTTTCTTTTTTTTGGTCCTGCTGCTTATGGGATCTTAAAATTCCCCACCAGGGACTGAAACCAGGCCCTCAGCAGTGGAAGTGCTGAGTCCTCACTACTGGACTGCCAGAGAATCCTCTCAATGTGTTTCTTTAGTAAAAAGAATGAATGAATGGTAGAGTTTGAGAAATCACTGTAATAGAAAAACAACGTACTATTGACTTGGAAAACATAAGTATTTCACAATTATTATTTAAATGAGATTTGAAGTCAGAAATTTGAAATATTTAAGTATATTTCCAATAATAATTTAAATATTAATTATAATCTGTTTCCAAACTAGTCTACAAGTTTTAAAATTAATTATCTGTGCAAAAGATTCTCTTGTTTTATGCCACACCAGCACACCTGATTTCTGTGTTATTTTCAGTATATCTGGTAAATTCAGTAACTTTTCTTCTGTATTAATGTTAGATATCACAAAAGGCTAATAGCAAAATCAATTATCTACAAAAATTAATTAAAAGGGGGCAGGGGAAAAGATGCAAGAAAGGAAATCCTCATATTGATAAAGTTCCAAACTCCTTCCTCAGAAAACATTGTACTGTGTTTTACTTCCAACCTGAACTGATTTAAATTTTCCTGTATCTTTAGCACTCAGGTAGAGATGTTCATAAAAATAATTTAGCCAGCAAACTGGAAACAGAGAAGAAGAAATAAAATGTATATAAAAGTCTGTCAACTGAAAGCTGAAAAAGCTGAAAAATTGTAACCAACTACTAACCTAAATACTCTTCTTAGGTAGCATATTACATATCATCTATTCTATACAATACATAATGAATTAAATACATAACAAATTAAATTTTTATCCTAAAAAAGAATATTAGAAGACTGATTAAAGTATAAGACAAAGAGAAGTAACAGCTACATGTAACAACTACATGCATTAATTAAAATTAGAAATATAGTTAAATTTTACTATAAATCCCATTTTAATTCTCAGATCATTTCAAATACGTACCTTCTTTGTTAATCGCCTCAATCTTGGCAGGGTAATAGCGACAGTCTGTCCAACGAGCCAGAACTTCTTCTCCGGCTTTAAAATCCTATTTTAAACAACTTTTAAGATCAATACCATGTATAATAAATATGCATTTCCTTAATTTAAAAAAACAAGCTTTTTTTTCTTAATCAAAAAAAAAAACAAGCTTTTGTAAAATTTAACAATTCCTTTAAAAAAATACATCATTACATACAGCAAACAGAAAGGCCTGCTACTTACAAAGAAATCTTCCTCATCTTTTAGCCCTTCTTTTCTTAATGCAGGTCTCTCAAGGGGGCGCAACCTATTGCTATCCCAGTAAATCCACTCATCGTAACGATGACTCCAGCGCTCAAAATGGACCAACATCTTGCCCTCCTCATAGTCAATTTTTTCAATTCGTGAGGGATACCTCAAAAATAAAAAAAGCCATCATATCAGGAGAAAATGCTTATGTTTGTTTACACAAAGTATGAACTGAAACACTGTTTACTATTATACCCATAAACAATATGGATCCATATTTTAAACTACTGACCAACAAAGTCTGCTTTAGTCTTTGTCTTTTCTTTTTAATGACTGCTCTCAAGACCTACTGAAATATTAACAGTTCAATCCCAGTGGACATATAAATTTTATTATTTATAATATAAATTATGCTGTCTTAGGAAATAATTTGATAACATGCATCAAAAGCTTTAAACATATTCTTACTTTTGAGTCAATAATTCCAACTGTGGAACTATATACACAAAACATGTATAACAAAAAAATAAAAACCATATGGTTAAAAAATACCTGAAAACTGTCCATAACTATATAAACTATGGCATATCTACTGAATGGAATATCATACAGACTTTAAATGTAATGCTTACAAAGAATTTATAATGTAGCAAAATGTAAAAAAGCAGTACTGTGTTCACCAGAATTATAAATATATAAAATGTCAAATAGTAACATATTGGTCGAGCAAACAATGACATACATTTGTCTATGACAATAAAGTACTTTCTCTTTTCTATTTTTCATACTTCCCAATATTTTATAATGAGTATTAATGACGGTACAGAAATCTTGGTTAAAACTTCAGATTAAGATTATAAAAACGGTATCACATTGTTCTGTCCTCACTGTGCTGATTCTCCCAGAATTAATTCCAAAATAAAAACTAGTTAACCTGAAACTTTTAACAAAAAAAGCTTCATAATTCTTAATGTATACTATATGTAATCTTCACAGAGACTCAAAGATTTTTCAAAACTAACATTAGATAACATTAAGAATTCAACAGCAGCACACAGTAGATTATTTAGCCATATGGTTTATTTCATACTTTTTCTAGCTATATCAGTTTTTTATTTTCCCTGTAGAATAAATATAAATTTGTATCATTAACATAAATTTAAATATAAAGCAAAACAGCCCTCACATAACTTTTAAATTAGGATCTGAGTACTACCTGCTTCACACACTCAAGCTATTCAAGGCTTTTTATACATTTTAAGGGCCCTCAATCATTCTCTGGTATAGCTTCTTCCCTCCCTTCAGTCTAATGACACTGAACTATTTGGAATTTCCTTAAACATACCATACTCTGTCGGACACCTATGCTTTTTGTCCATTCTGTTCCTTCTGCTCTTCCCTTCCTCTGCACACTCATCATTCAAGACCTGATTTAACATGGAATCACCCGTGTGAAGACCCCCTACTCTCCACCCCCTAGTGCTCTCACTGCAACCGTCTTGTCACAATCATGTGCACAGGATCCTAAACTGTAGGCTGTGGAGCATTTACATCCCGTAAGACATTAACACATTTGACACAAAAAAAGGGGTCCCATGGTCAAATAAGGTAGGAAAATGCTAGATTAAATAAACCATTTTCTTTATTGAAGACTTCTTGGTTCTGTCAACAAGACACAAATAAGGCATTCACTACTACCAAAGCGTGTAACCCTTTCATCACAAAGTATTCACTAACACTTCAAGAGAGAGTAGACATCTCAGAAACAGAATGTTTGTTAGCAATTAAAAGGGCCTGTGAGTTTCGGGGACTGAGTCATGGCCAGCTGTGTACCCCTAGCACTTTCACAGTGACAGACACACACTGGCTACTGCGGGAATGCTCAGGGTGAACAAGTGATGTTAAAGAAAGAAAATCTGCACATCTTTTCAGAGCTGATAGCAGTCTCACTCTTCAGAGGGCACAGTTGTGAGTAAGGAAACACTCTGTTAAAGAGAAGCACGAACAGAGGAAACCCTAGGGGCTCAGCACACTCACTCCCTGAGCTGGACATGCTGATTCCACTGTTTAGAATAAAAAATGCTTGTCTTCTGCAGTTTTGCTGATTTGTTTCTGCTGCTCTGGTTTTCAAAACAAAACAAAAAATGACAACAGCATTAAGGGAAGCCTGGAGATAACGTTCTTTATTTTTCAACCTTCACTAGGCACTTTACTGCTACAAAGGGTGTTCTGTCAATTATAAAAACCAAGTTTCTCATCTATGTGTTTATATTGTTTTTATTTTGAACAAGAAAATAAGAGGTTTATTCTATAGGTTCCTTCAAATTCTAAATGTACACAATTAAATGTACACAAACAAATGGCAGGTTAGAAGGAAACATAACTAACTCTTATCTTCAAGGAGTTTAGCTTAGAGTCAGATGAGGAGACAGAAGCAGCATGATATTTCTGAGAGTTATAAATCTGTCAGGCCCTATGTTCTTCCTTTATTGAGCATCAGCTGATTTTTATACACCTTATCGCATTAGATCCTGGAAACCATCCAAGTTACAGATAACACAGTCACCATTCAACAGATGAAGACTGTCCAAGGACACACATGGTAAGAATATTCAAAGTCAGAGCTAGCTGGTACCAAGAGCCTACAGGAGAAATGCGATAAGGCCTGTATCAAAGTAATTATACCATACATGGTAAACTGTTAAGTTTATAAAACATTTTTTTTTCTCCTTTACATCAAGCTTTTACTTTTTAAAAACCATGAATTTTTCAGAGTTAATTCGCTCATTAACATATTTCCTCACAAGTTAAGTTTTCCCTGAAGATAGTGAACAGTAGTAAATACTAATTTGAAACTAATTTCAACTTTGATTTCTCTTTGCCATTATTTTTTTGGTAATTTGAATATACTTTGCTTTTTTCACTGAAGTACAGTTGACTTTACAAAAATTCTACATAAGATGCAATAATTAATATTTCAGAGAAAACTGGTGCCCTGGCGACCATTCTTAGAAGAAGTTACCTACGTTGGTCTTGGTGGGGGACTTTAGGGATTCAGACTTAATCAACATGGTACAAAGGTAAAGTGTAAACAAAGCATTACTCATTTATTCAATCAATGTTCACTTACTTAAAACCATCATGTGATTCAGGATTGAGCATCAGCTGGACAAGGAGGATTCAGACAAACAGAATGTGGTTTCTGTCTTCAAGGACCTCAGGACCAGAGACTGGAGGGGCACTTCCAAGAAAGAGTTCCCTTTGGCTAGACTATATGGTAAGTAATAAGGTGAGTAAAGAAGAGTGAGAGCTCAGACTGGACTAGGTTCAAACTAAAGGGCCCTGAAATAGTGAACCAGTGAAACGCCTCTCCATTCATTATATACAAACAAGGAATCCTGTAAAGTCTGTACTTAATTTGGTTATCAGTTAACCTTAGGAAAAAACCCTAACATCAAGATCTTTGCTATACATAGAAAATACACAAAATGGTAATTTAACATATAGCTCTATTATTTTATTCTATACAGTGAAATGATTTCCCTATTCAAGATGACCCATAGTAATGCCTTGATACTCAGTGAATAAAAAATACTTCTGAACAAATGTATTCACAAATGCCTCTACATCTTGAACCACAACAATTATTTTGATGCACAATGTATGTTTTATTATAACTGAGTATGAATGGAATGTAAGATTTTTCTTAGTGAATTTGGAAGATGTAATGATAATGTTTTTGTTTTTGCTTTTCAAAGGATGAATCATGAAAAGCTGTTAAGAGTAATGAACAGTGACTAGGCTGAGTCCCAAATATTTGTACATGATTGGGAAAAAAATCTGAAAAGTGAGACTGGAATTTCAGAGTTAAAATAATTAGGGATAAGAATAAAACAAAAAAAATAACATAGTTGGCACCTCTCCAGGGTTCAAAAGAAACAGATGGAGAGAAGGCAACTAGGGTTATGATTCTTCAATGCCAAAATTCTACACAAAGCTCTACTATTCCTTATGATGATACAACAACATCATAAAATTCCCACATCTGTCTTCTCTATCCCACTTTAAACTACCTGCACTGTGTAAATGCCATTACCCAGTGTGGAGATTAAGGGACTGCCTCCACTGCTCTGCGCCTATCTTGCCCTCATATGTCTTTTGCACTTAAATCTTAAGAGAATAGAGTTTACTCTGGGCAAACTTAGCAAGAAAAAATAATCCATCCTAAATTGTTTATTAGGTTTAATGGAAACAAACAGCATTTAAAAACACTGAGAATGATCCTTGCTGAATTTAACAGAATTTTCATATGTGCAATTCTACTTCTGAGAAGGAAATGGCAACCCACTCCAGTGTTCCTGCCAGGAGAATCCCATGGGCAGAGGAGCCTGGCAGGCCATAGTCCATGGGGTCGCAGAGATTCAGACACAACTGCAATGACTTGACTAAGCACACAATCCCTCAACTGATTTCTTAGGACTCTTTCTGAATCAGTGTGGTCAAAATTCTCTAATGGTCACGTTCAACCATGGCTGTAACAGCAGAGTAAAGTAAAGTGAAGTGAAAGTCGCTCAGTCACGTCTGACTCTTTGTGACCCCATGGACTATACAGTCCATGGAATTCTCCAAGCCAGAATACTGGAGTAGGTAGCCTTTTTCTTCTTCAGGAGACCTTCCCAACCCAGGGATTGAATCCAGGTATCCTGCATTGCAGGCGAATTCTTTACTGGCTGAGTCACAAGGGAAGTCCGACTAAAGCAAGGCCATTGCCAAAAACAAAAATTTCTTTAACCTTTCACTTTATTGCCTCATCCGATAATACCAGCATTTTAACACTGTCACTGGTGCCTCCCACTTACACAAGATGGGTCAGAGAGTAACAAGCTTTATGGATTCTGAACTCACTCTGTAATTTATTAAAAACCAGACACTGAGCAAAAAGACTAGGTACACACTGTATTGATTCCCTATAACATTAACTCAAGTCTATTGTCAAAACACAAAGGAAATAAGAAACCTACAATGGGAATTACCATTACAGATGAATTACTACACTGGCTCATGTTATTAACTATTTTACATGGCAAGTCCTGACTGACAGCTAGATCAGGAGACCATGATTCCCTGAGAATATATGTAAAAAAAACATCTGGCACATATGTGTAT